GAGCTTAACTCTGCCATTTTGCACAAGGTCATCGACTGCCTGGAAGTCCCTTCGGCTAAGGACGACGTCAAGTGCTTCGTCTTGAACGACATCGTTCGAAACATCATTTCTCTTGTTACCGAAGATGATGAGACACCGACGACAGACTCGAAACTTCTCAGAAATCGCATCCACACGGACATCATTCAGCCATACTCAACTGCGATACTCCACCGAGTCGGTCAACTACTTCGCCAAAGCCCCGGTAAAGAAGTGCTCGAAGCCGGTGTACAAACGGTGGCAGACCTAGCGCCTCACGTAGTCGGTGCCACGGAATCCCGGAGCATGATCGAGATCGCAACTTTCTTGCTTCGCCAGCCTTCGAAGCGCGTCAACCCACGTACTAAGCTCGGCTTACTCAAGATCCTTCATGAGTTCATCCAGCGCTGTGATAGCCAGGGTTTGGTAGAGCTCTTTGACACAACCTATGATGCCATCTCTCCTATGTTCAGTTTCGTTCAAGATCGAACAGCCCGAAGCTTGCTTTGCGATGTTCTTCAGGATCTCTCCGATACCAATGGCGATCTCACGGTAATCGCAAAGCTGTGCCACGATCTGAACTCATTCGCTACTGGACGTCTCGATGAACCAGATTTTGAACGCCGCTCGCAAGCTTTCAATGCCATAAACGAAGAAAGCTATCGGTCATACACGCTTACACAGTGGAAGCCTTTGGTCTACAACATGCTGTACCTCATCAAGGATAACGACGAGCTCAGCATTCGAGTCAATGCATCACTATCTCTACGCCGTTTCAGCGAGGTCGCGTCGAGCGAACAGTTCAAGGAGTTTGTATCAGCTGCAGTCCTACCTGGAATTCAGAATGGTATGCGAGAGAATTCGGAGCTTGTACGGGTCGAATACCTTGCCGTCCTGGAACATCTGGTCAAGACACATTCAGACTGGACTCCGGTAGCCGATCTGTATATTCTCCTGTCGGAAGATGATGAAGCATCATTCTTTGGTAACATTCTACACATCCAGGGTCATCGACGATTGCGAGCCTTGCGCCGTCTGGCTACCCATGCGTCCCATCTACGAGGTACCAATATCTACCACATTCTGATACCACTCCTCGAGCACTTCGTGTTTAATAAGGGCGATGACGAGGCTGCGGACAGCCTCTTAGGAGAAACGATCAAAACACTTACATCCTTGACCGAAGGCCTAGAGTGGCCACAGTTCCGTTCTCTCCTCAAAAGGTATATTGGCTACCTGACAAGCAAGGAAGACCTGCAAAAGCCTATCATCCGACTGATCGCAGGTCTCATGGACGGTTTGAACCAAGCAGGACGTGCCAAGGGTTACATCACTAAATCCTCCTCCCAAGTTGCATCTGAGGTTGAAGATGCTTCGGACGCTATGGAGGTCGATGAGCCCTTATCGACACTGGCCAAGACGCTCCCACAACAGGAAAAGCTTAGCACCGATCTGATCAGCAACTTCCTGCCCGACTTGACCAACTTCCTACACAAGAAGGATGAGGCTACCGTCAGTTTACGAGTGCCGATTGCAACCGCGATTGCGAAGATTCTTTTGATTCTGCCGCCGCTCGAGATCGAGACACGTTTACCGGGCGTTCTTCTGGATATCTGCTACATCTTGAAGAGCCGCGCGCAAGAAGCTCGCGATATGTCGAGAAACACCCTGAGTGATATTGCTACGATACTGGGCCCTGGCTACGTGGGCTTCATCCTGAAGGCTTTGCGGACTGCGCTTCAACGCGGTTACCAGCTCCACGTTCTGTCGTTCACTTTACATACCATTCTGGTCAAGCTCGCCGACCAAACGAACCCAGGTGATCTTGATTACTGTTTGGTGGAGCTAGTCGATGTTGTAAGTATCCCAAAGAAATTCATTCACTTTGGGGACGGACTAACGTAGTATTTAGATCATGGACGACACTTTCGGCGCTGCAGGTCAGGAGAAGGATGCTGAAGAATACATCTCTAAGATGAAGGAGGTGAAGAGCAGCAAATCTTTCGATTCCATGGACATCGTAGCACGGTGTGCGACGCCCGCCCATATCATCAAGCTTGTGCTTCCGATCAGGTCTCTTCTGATCGAGAAGCTCAATGCAAGGATGGTTCAAAAGATCGACGAGCTTTTGCGACGCATCGGACTCGGTGTTCTTCAGAACCCTACTGTGAACAACAGAGATATCTTAGTATTCTGTTATGAGCTCATCCAGGAGGCTTACGCTGCAACCACGACTACCGAAAAGAAGGCCAAGATCGACCCCAAGAACAAGCGGTATCTGATCAACAACCGCGGAGCAGCCAAGTCTGGCGCTAGACTTAGCACCAACTCTTATCTATTCAAGATGATCCGCTTTGGTATGGATATTCTTCGGACTGTGCTCCGCAAACACGAAGACCTCCAAACTCCCCAGAACTTGGCTGGCTTCCTTCCGATCATTGGTGACGCCATGGTACAAGGACAAGAAGAAGTGCAGGTCTCGGCTGTTCGCCTTCTCACAACCATCATCAAGGTACCGATGACGGAGCTGGACACCAACTGCCCTGTGTACATCGACGAAGCGATGCGCGCCATCAAGGGCGCACTGTCGTCCAACACGGAGCTTGCGCAAGCCTCATTGAAGCTAGTCTCAGCGGTTCTACGCGAGCGACCAAACGTACCGATCAAGGAAAGAGACGTTGGTCACCTCCTCAAGCGCATGATTCCCGATCTGGACGAGCCAGATCGATCAGGTGTCACTTTCGGTTTCCTCAAGGCTGTCATGAACCGTCACATTGATGTTCCTGAGATGTACGAAGCCATGGACAAGGTGGCCGAGATGATGGTCATCAATCAGACAAAATCCGCACGCGACATCGCCCGTTCGCACTACTTCCAATTCTTGACATCATACACGCAGAGTGAGAAGCGCTTCAAGAAACAGATCGAATTCCTCCTCAAGAACCTCCGGTACGAGCATGTGGAAGGCAGGCAGTCAGTCATGGAGGCGCTCGATCTCATCATCGGGAAGGCGTTGCCTCGCTTCCCGGAGAAGACACAGTACGAGTACCATGGCATCATGTTCCTCCCGCTGATCAACACTGTGGCGAACGACGACTCGAGCAAATGCCGAGAAATGGCCAGCTTACTCATTAAGAGGCTGTTCCAACATGCCAGCGACAAGCGTTTGCAAAGTTTCGCGGCTGATCTCAAGAGCTGGTTGGAACAGGACGACAATGTTGGCTTGAAGCGTCTCGGCATCCAGTGTTTCGGATTCTACTTCGAGGCGATGGAGGAGGATGAAGAGCCAAAGGAGGTAGCATACGTTCTTGACCGGCTGGACGCAACAATCGATGAGTGCCTGACAAGACGCGACGAAGACGACTGGGAGTTGTTGTACTACTCTCTCACCCTGCTCTCCAAGATCTGCAAGAGGTACACAGACACCATGTTTGCATCGAACAAGGATAGTCTATGGACCGCAGTGCAAGCTAGTGCGACATATCCGCACTTGTGGGTCAAGCTCAAGGCTGCGGAGCTTTTGGGCACATACTTTGCCCATCTGGGTGTATCGAACAAGGACACTGGTCTTGCGGCTCTGCCTCTGGAGGGATCGGGGGGTCTGCAATTAACAGAGCAGAGCATGACGCAGCTCTGCAATGCCTTCCTGAGGAACCTGCTCAACCCGGAAGTATCAGAACAGCTCTGCATGCAGAGCGTGAAGAACATTGCTTTCCTCGCGCGCTGCCTCGCTGTCAACGGCGCAAAGTGGCACTGGCAGAAAACAGACGACGAGGAAGAAGCAGGAGAATCTGTTGCACCAACAAACGGCGCCGCATCTGCTGTAGATGACGAAGACGATTTCAGTGGCTTTTCACCTCCACCCGAGACGAAGAAGCCTGAGAAAGCGGAAGATACCCCACCGACAGCGATCCACCGCCTAATGATCCGCCTCTCCGGCATCGTCCGCAAAGACAAATCCACCATGAACGCCAAAACAACCATAATGTCCCTCTTCGATACCATCGCCGCAAAATTTCCTCTCGAACCCTTATCAACATCCCTCCCCCACCTCCTCACCACACTCTCCACCCTAACCTCCGCCGACGCCACGTTCCCTAAATCCGGCGCCGTTGTCGCGTCCTCTGCCAACGCAGCAACCGACCCGTACAAAGCGCTGTCAGACAAGGCGCGCGAAGTCATGAATACGCTGCAGAAGCGGCTGGGTACGCAGGAGTATCTTAATGTTATGGCGGAGGTACAGCGTGGTGTTAGGGAGAGGAGGGAGGAGAGGAGGCGCAAGAGGAAGGTGGATGCTGTGTTGGATCCGGAGAAGGTGGTCAAGGAGAAGAGGAGAAGACATGAGGTTAAAAGGGTTAATAAGAAGGAGAGGAGTGCCCAGGAGAAGGGTAAGAGGAGGGGGTGGTAGATGTTGTAATCTGGTGTGATGGGCTGCGGGTGTTTTCTTGTGTGCATTTACGTGGCGTTTGTCATTGGAAAGGGTATGGGAAAGAAAAAGTTTAGCATTGCGTGGCATGAGGTGTGGAGAGTATGGTTAGGGAGATGGTAGATTGTGAATGGCATGTGATACCCTTTATTGAAGTTTGCCTGGTTCTGATCGCTGCACTCCTTGGACGGATTTGTTGAGGTATGCATTGGGGAATTGATAAGAAAGGCTGTTCATACTCCAGAATGAGGTCACGCTCGGAGAAGTGAGGATCCTGTGGAACGATGTTGCATATATTTCTACAGAGCAAGAAGTACAGCTTGATGCAAGCTTCTAGCACTCTCTCTTCGCTAAGTAGTACTCAAATTTGTTGCAGGAGATGAGTAGTTGAGCCGGTAATTACTAGGGAAACCCCGCTTTGATATATCCTGCCTTCTTTCCAACCACGCAGCTTCAACAATACCAACATCCAATTCTCCTATAAGTCCTATCACGAATGACATGCATTGAAGAAACAACACATCGGATCTATTATCCATTCGCTGCCAAGAAATTCTCACGTGATACGATCTGCCGGTTCCAAGAACTTGTTGATTTCCTCTACCACAACGCGAAGTGGTATACTCATCGTGCCGTCTGAATTAATGAACACCTTACACGTCCTCAGTACGCGCCGCTGCTGCCGTTTCTCGAGGTCGCTGATCATCCTTTTGACTTTCTTCAAACTGACCAGTCGTAGTCCATGTATCGCGAGCGCACCGTGAGTGCTCCTTCCGCTTGAGCTGTCTGAGCTGTAGTCGGCATTTGAGTCATCGGTAGAGCTCGCAATAGGGCTCTCAGTGAGATTCTCAGTCGAGTCCTCGTTAGTGTCGTCGCTGGATTCATCGCTGGAGTCGTCACTAGCGTCTTGATCAAAGTCCTCGTCTGAGTCGTTTTCTGCGTCCTCGTCACTGTGATCATCTTGCGTTACGGACTCGCTTATAGACCGATAGAATCCATAACCGGGTAGAGGATATCGTCTTCCTCGATCGTAATCGGCCATCCTTAGCTCCTCGAGCGAATAGTTCTCGTAAGGCGGCTGGAAGGTGATGGTTTGGTACTCCTGGACCTGGGTTTCACATCTTTCTCGCTCTCGATGGGCTGAGAATGGCGTACCTGTAGTACCAACACCAAGATTAGACTCGTAATGGAAAACGTCTTCGAGACTGGTAGATTCAAAGGCAGTCGTTATATCAAACATGTCTGTTCCTTTGACTGAAGCTGAAGATGTGCCCTCGCTAACATCGCCCAGCGCCCTTGATTCTGATGAGCTGCACCCCCCAAACAGTCCATATCCGTGGTTATCGGTGCTCTTGCCAGCGCATTCATGGCTGTTTTTGTTTGATAACCAAGGTAGTGGATCAGGCAGGCATGCGGAGGCTGGCTGAGGTGATAGGCCGAAAGTCGAAGACTTGCCAATGTTGTCGTTAACTTCGAACCCCGGATTACCCGACGGACTGAACGCGTGTTTTGATGATGACCCGGAAACCAATGTTTTGTCAACGTTGTTCTTGTTGCCGAATTCTGGCTTCCAAGACGGTCCGAACATTGGCCTGCGAGATGGACTGAACCCTGGTTTCGGCGATGACCGGCAAGGTGAGCTTTTGCCGCTAGGGTCATTGATACCTGGGAAAGTAATCGCTAGTTTGGTTGGAGAGCCAGAAGTCGAGCCTTTTTCGCCATTGCCGGCGTTCCTGGAAGGACTAGCCGCTTTTTGTGATGCCCCAAGAACGCTGACCCTGGCGTGGCCAATACTTGTGTGAGATGTACTCGCATCCTGTACAGATCCTCGCGCAGCACTTGTGCTTGTGCCACCACCGAAAAGGCCGAGGCCCTCGGTCTTGCTTTGGTTTCGAAGGCCAACACCTGTTGCAGTGCCGATGCTACTTCCGATACCCGGTCTACTGAAGACATCGGTCCCCGTACTGATGAGTTGTCCAAACATTCCGTAGGTAGGAAAGATAGAATCTTTTCGGGAACCCAAGGCTTCTTTGGTTTGATGGTTGCGAAGTGGAGGTATCTGGTCGGTGCCCTTCGAGGGCGTTGGAGTATCGATACGCGGATGCCGTAAAGGCGTATTGTGCTTCTCGGGTGTTATCGATTTGCCGAATATCTGGGCAATGCTAAGATTTTCTCTAGACGAGCTGTTTGTAGAGACGGCTTCCGAGCAGTCCACAGCAGGCATAGGTAGGCACCAACTCGGAGGGTCGTGGAAGCCAGACGGATTTATGGTGGGTAAACATTTCGAGGCTTGCAAGATGGCGACTTGCAGCTTTGGCTTGAGAAGGCGTGAAGACCACGTGTGCATGTTCTTGACGATGGCACGCAGTGATACCACTCCCCATGTGAGTCGTATTGAAGTCGACCAGATACATCTCATGCGCTTTTCGGGGTTAGCTTCAATGAAAAAGAAGTGTGGATGAGTTGCTCTGACCTGTACTGGATGGCCAAATATTGTTTTGTCGTTGTATGCAAGCCAAACCTTGACTACAGGTCCAACACACGTGAAAGCAACGACAGGAGGCGATTGCAGTGGTAAGGTATTGTTGACTTTCCCGAAGAGTTGTGATTGTATATCAAGTGCGGCAGCTGCAGCATTGGCTGCTTGACAATAACATCTTTCCACGGCAACGTCGCGAGGTGATGTAACGTCCTTCTTTATCTCAACAACGGCCCAAGGAAAGCAGGATCGGTCAGAACTGCTCCATCCCGATTTATCAGGGAGGGTTGATCTGTTTCTGAGGGCAGTTGTTGGCGCGCAAGCCACACCTTGCTCCACGAGTTTTCCGAGTGATTGAACGGAGAGTGTTTGGGTGAGCTCATCTTTTGCAAAACCTTGGAGGCTGTCCGGTGATGAGATCTGAATCGGAAATGCGTACGTCAAATCTGGCTTAGGATGCGTGCGGGGTACTAACCCAGGACAGGGTTTTGCAAAACTGTCGAATTCATTCCATTGGACGTTCTCGTAACTAGGACCCAAAGTCAATATTTCACCGTTACACATACCCACATTTCGTAACTTACAGCAACCATGCATCTACACTAGAGCTTTCTGGACATCAGTATGCAACGATGAAGAGAGAGCACAAGCTACGCCACCTCACAGGGATCGCAGAACTTACTCGAGACCCGAATCCTCATGCCTCTCATCATTGAACAATCTGAAAATCTTCGTCCTCCAGAATAAAGTCCATTCATCTTCCGAATCATCCTGTATCCGGTCCGCATCTCCTACGACACTTTCACAGAAACTAAGGTTGTCGTGCAAAGATTGCTGTCGCCAGCGTCCATGATGCTTGGCAGAGTCCGGAGGGTGAAGACACCACTCTGGGCCGATATCCACAGTCCCATGTTGGGCCAGCTCTTTTCGTAGAGTCACATCCCAGTCCTTCGGTATGATCTTCTGCATAAACAACAGTCCAGCACGCACTCCGTCAACGTGGTCTGGCAGCGAGTCGGCCGTCGACTGTGAGTTGGCATCATTGCCTTGGTGGACTTTTGGATCGTAGTGTATCGCATGACGTATAAGATTGGCCCGGCTGATGTCCTTCTCCATCACGAGATCAGAATGTACAAGTGGCGAAGACAATGCGCTGAACATACATGAGCAACCCCATCGCCTTATGCGCTCCTTCTACTCCTAGTCCAAGGAGCTTTCCGACTTCCGCCTACATGCCAATCGCTGCGGCGCAGCAAAAGCTGCATCCTTCATATCGGTTAAGCTGGTGGCGAGTCAGAATGGAATCTACAAGGCGCGAAGGAAGGAAGGCGCCGCGTTGTCGTTCATGACGCCTCGCGTTTCGTTGAGCGGCATCGCGGCAAAGTGCGCACCGTGCGCGTCTTCCTCACCATTACACAAGTGTTTCAAGGCAAGCCATCTGGCTCAGCGCAACGGATGAGGCAGGTGAAAACGATTAAGCTCGCTCATTTTGGGGGCGGATTGTATCAAGTCGGCGGAGTGCTATACTCTTCGAGAAAATGGAAGTGCTGCTCATGTTTCCGCGGCGTGGCATGTGGTACGGGCCGAGGCGGGACGCCAATGGGGAACCAGGAACGCCTACCAGCACACGGGGTTGTCGTGGGGGTGGAGCGAGGAACTTTGATTGCGTACGTTGGGAGATTTGGATTTTCCGGTAATGGCGGTTTGTCAGAATGAATAGAATGCGCCTTTGACTCAGACTGCGGTCTAGTCCTAGTTCGGGCTGGTCATTGAGATGGTACTTTGGTATACGGTATGACTGCGATAGCTTTGATGAACCTGGCGGTTTGTCAATTCCGTTTGGAAGAAAACTCGTATATTCAGGGCTTCTTCAGGAGCGACACGTCTAGCTATCGCACATACAGGGTGTGCTGTGAGTGTCCAGTGTCTTGATGAAATGGCAGCCTTGAATGTGGCTACTAGCAGTATCCGCGGTCGTATCAGTTAAAAGAGCTCGCCACTGCTGTCGCTGTCGACGTAGGATCTAGTCTCTGGTTCCGATCGTTCAGGAAGTCTGCCTTCGATATGTTCGTTCTTGGTCATCGACCCGGGACTGTGGTGTGAGATTACACTATCGCGTACTCTTTGCCACCCTCCGCGGCGAAGTTTGTCCAAGCCTTCCGTTTGCTTTGCTTGTCTTCTCTTTTTAGGATCAGATCGCCATAGTCAAGTACATAAGCAACGTTGACCATCTCGTATGACTCGATTTCTGGCAGTGGTGCTAAGATGAATGGAACTTGCGTTCCAAATAAACAAACCAGGACAGCGCCTACATGTATGCGTTTACAATCCAGGTGCCAGGAGAAGCCGAAGTGTCCTTCTTCAGTAACGAACAAATCATGTTCTTGAATGGCGTCGTGCGGTAGACGGAACATGTCTCTGCTCCCACGCAAAAGGCTGGCGAAGTGATAGTGGCTGTCATCATAGAACTTGGAGTTTCGCTTTCGAATCGTCAGTAGAAGCGTAAGTGGAGTTACGCCCCTTGGCTTTAGAGCACCGTGGTAGAAGTCATATAAGGCAGCATCCGGAGTCTTATTCCCCTCATCCATTAGGCCCCACAAAGAATCGAGTGTTTCACAGACAGTACCAACAAACCTGCCATGTGTATACATTGTCTGGCAATCCACTGACAGTTTTATCGAGCCTTGTCGCTCCTCTCGCTCTTCCAAGCTCAATTCTGAGTTGCACACATCTTCAATTTCAGACTTCCCAGACATCGAAGTAAAGTCTATCAACCAGGACGACTTAGTCCAATATGTCCGATCAAAGGCTCCAGGAGGTTTTGTATCTTCACCAAAATATGGAAGAGCAGACTCTTCTAGAATCGAGACGACGGTAGCCTCAGCCAACACGTGCTGTAGAGGTTTCGAGTAATCAGCTGCTATTGCCTCGGTAATCTGGAAATCGCATAGTCCCAAGAGTCCATAGACCTTATCGCGAGGGTCTGCAGACATCGCGTACTGTGATGTGATCAGGCAACAATACAAGCCTTGATGGCTGTCGGAGCGTGATCTGATTCGGTCCAACGCTGAAACGCGTGTGTAGTCGTTCTGGAACTGATCAAGAAGCTGACGATCGTCTGCCATTTCCGACGATCTGTACAGAAGTATATCTTCAACAGTCTCGCAAAAAGATGACCAACTTGTGCTCAAGCTACCGACTAGTACGATCGGGTCCTTTTCCGCTAATGCCAGCTCTTGAATGACCCAAAGGCGACTAAACCAGGGAAGCGCCATAATGTCCACGAAATGCTCACGTACATGGAGTGGAGTCAAGGCTGGATTTCCTCTTTCCTCTTCTCGTAGCGTACTCAACCAGAGCGCTTGGCAGTCATCCAGGTGTGAACAGCCTTCAGAGTTTGGCCACTCGCCAAGCCATATCAAGACATGCTTCGCGGATCTATAGATCATGGCCATATGCTTGACCTGAAGAGACCTTTCCTGTATGTCCCGCTGGTTGATACACAGTGCATCAATCCAAAGCATACGGGGCCGATCATTGAACCGAAGATGCCTCAACCCCTGATCGAGGCTTTTGGTAATGCGCAGATCGATTTTATCAACCAGTGCTTTGCGAGGACTAATCGCTGTTCCCCACGCATACGAGAGAGCTTCATATTCGAATTGGCATGAAAGGTCATGCTGACGCGATACCTGCTGGTCTAAGACTTCTCCGTCTGATTTCTCTTCGTCTGTCACCCGCTCTTCCAGTTTGACGATATGTAGTGACAGGCTGATAGAGTCATCGTAGCCGCCTGGCAACAGTTCGACCAAGCGAATCTCTCCGCCGTCTGAATCGATGGCCTGATATGGTGATCGGTCTGAGCCCGTGGTAAATGGTGCTTGTAGTGCTTCCATTAAGCCAGTCGAATCGCGCGAGGCTGCGATGCGTGGACATTCAATGTTGGGTAAATGCGTGTCGCAGTCGGTAGGCTGTAGAGTGATGTGATCTTAATAAGCGCGACGTAGGTCTAGAGTTCTGCTAAAAGTGTATGAGTGTGGGCGCGGTCGTGGTAAAACGAGTGACACTTGAACAAGCGAAGAGGGGAAAGAGTGGTTGGGTCGGTTTAGGCAGCCAGCCGCACGAGGTGGATGACTAAGTCCAGCCACGCACATCATCGGCCAACAAAATGAAAGCTATACCTCTCAAAAGAAAGTACGTTCGTCCCACGGCCAGACATGTCAACAATCAATCTGATCAATCTGGTCTAACCTAATATAGAAATTGACTAGCTCGTGTAAGTTAAGATCTTACTAAAATCAGTTAGATCAGATTGATCAGATTGAATGTTGACATGTCTGCCCACGGCTGAGTCGCTGGATTAAAGTAAACTGATTTATACCCCAACTCAATTGTTCCCAAGCGCTCCTCTCTCAATGGCATGACACTGCTTGAATACAGCATCCGACTTACACGGCAACATGGTATAAAGTGACTGCAGCCAGCTGTATACAGAGCGGCCGATCCGATTCGCTTACGATAGAAGAGAACATTTGTCTAATTATATAGCAAGAACAACTTGTTTAATTCGACAAGGCAGAACCTATATGCCTGAAATCCATGATATGTATATAATGAAATCCCTGAGTACTTAAGCCCGTATCAGTCCCTTCTCTTTCCCCGTTTCCTCAGCTTCCAGCTAATGGAAACAAGACTCGCAAAGCCGCTCACTGCAACAAGGAAAAGCCAGAGCCTTGACCAGCAGCCTCCATCAGCATACGTGTGAACTTGGTACGCTCGCTAGTCTGCATGACAGTTGGGCGACGAGTCCAGCCGATCTCAGTAGGCATGCGCTCGTTTCCTACATCATCATGTGCGTTAGCAAGCAATCTCCATCCACCGCTAGGACAAAGCGAAACTTACGCAACCAGTACTCAATAAAGTCTTTCCTAACAGTGCTCGTGGTACCATCCGCCATGATCTCAAAGAAAGAAGCGCATTCACCCCAACTGAAGCCATCCGCCAACAACGAAGCCTTGTGCTCCGGGTTGGTTTTCTTAGATGTCTCGAGGCGTGCCATGCGGGCATCGGCGAGCTGTTGAATCGTGATTTCTGGTGTCGTGAAGAAGGAGGCTGTCTCCGCCCAGACGGTTTCGTTAAAGGGGAGAGGGTTGGCGAAGAAGCGGTCGGAGCGACTCAGGCTGAAGTCATGCTCCAGAACGCCCTCACGGCCCAGCGTGTCGAGGTCGAATGTACGTGCGAACGGCTCCGGGTTGGTGCGTACGGCCTGCGAGAAGAGGATGATGGCGTCGCTCTTGGCGATGTTGAAGCCTTCGAGCATGGCATCGGCAAGGATATCGCGGGTGATCCTCCGCCCGTCGTGCGGCAGGTACCCGTGGTTGGCGAGAGTGTTCATGCCTGGGCATGGCCCGCGTGCTGTTTAGTCACTGATTAGTGCGGTGTTCTTATCACGACTAGATATCTCCACTAACCATCAGTGGGACCTGGAGCCGTCCAGTTCCTGGGCACCCAGGCCTGGCGGGCGACATAGGTCGGGAAAGCCGAGGCTGACGCAAAGATGGCGAGGAAGCTGATAGTAGATGAGACCTTCATGGTGGTTATGAACGGGAAGTGAAAAGAGTGGTGAGGAGGAAATGGAACTCAAGAATGAATGTTAACGAAAGGACGTGAAGGTTTGACTGCTAACGAGTGATTGCCTTGAAACGATCTCTGCTGGTACCTTTGAACTCTTCGAGCTCGAATACATTTATATATCGGCCTGCTTTGAGTGACAGCTACCCATCGTTGTCAGGCGTGAAACTCGTCAAGGCCATCGACAGCCCTCGGCCCCGACATTTAAAGGACGTTGCACCACGCCATTTCGGTTGCCTCGGTACGCAAAGTCGACGAAGAGATGCGATACGTGAAATTTCTGACGGTTCTCTAGGATGTGCTTGATGAATTCGCGATGGGGAAAGGTAAAAGAAACACTCGAGGACTTGGCGGTTCGGGATAAACAACCGACAAGCCACAACTCATTTCGCGTCCGTTACAACGATCTGGGCATACGTAGGGGAGTGGGTCGCATCCTATCACATCTCGATGCGCTGGTAACATTCCTCGGTTCGAAAGAACAAACCCATATGTATTAGGATGGCAAACGACTTGTGGGATTCTTCCCAGTCGGCGATCTTCTAGCGAGACTGGATATGGCACTGCGCAATGCCCAAAGATCTCACCACCGTGCAACAAAAGCCACGGAAGAAGTGACGATTTCTGCGTTCGACAAGACTAATTTCATTACAACGTGGGCTTTGGAGAAGGCGATTCAGATTGCAAATCGCCGCGATAGTCCGCCTGGTTATTGTTGATAATCGTGAAATGCCTAGCCTGGTTGGGGTGCTCTCTACCAGGTCAGCAGACAATGGTTCTGGATAGATAACAGTGTCAGGCCGACCATGACGTTTGCGGTAGACCGTCCTGAATATTACCAGCTGATCGGTCGTGTTCCTCTCAATCTGAGAGTCGCGATTTCACCTCAGACTGGCACGAAACACCATCCCCACTATTTTAAACCTCGGCAGTTTCGCGACGTACCACACCCTCCAATACTTCTTATCCAGTTCTACGAGGGACTCTGTTTATTCGGCGATGGCCGTCTTGTCCGCTTCGAACGCTTTCTTGCGGATGATAAAATGCATATCCATCGTTCAGATTTGACATGAAGATACAGGGTATGATGCGATCGAAGGATGTATACTGCGGTAAGGGCAGCGCGATCTTGAAAGAACGAGGGTAAGTCTAGCGTCACTATAAGCACTTCTTTGTGCGTATGAAGAAGTTCCAGGGCCGTGTGTATTCGAGATGCACCTAGCCATATAAATACGTTGGATCGCAACGAAAACTCTTGGGTGGTATTCAAACAATGTTATACAGGTGGTTGGCGGTTGTACGAGATCGACCGTGTCGACAAGTGGAGGTCTTTATCTCGAATGCGTAGCGTTTAGTCTTGCGAGGGTTTCGGTGGTTCAGGCTGCTCGGCCAGGCGGTTGTCACCCTTGGGCTTCGATTCGGCGTGGAACTGTGCGGATCTGGGTGTAGTGCTGCCGTCGTCCCAGAATTCAACGTCGCCTTCTGCACTTAGGGAACCTCTCTTAACTAGGCTACCCTTCTCCCGCATGAGGTCCTCGATTGTGACGGACTTGTCTGAGAATACCTGCAAACTATTAACCTCCAGTCGTGCCAACTCTCCAACGGCCATACCTTGAGGTGGTCTGCAATGAGATGCCGGTTCTTGCAGCCCGGACATTGAATCAAAACAGTTCCATGATGGTAGCCTTGCTTCGACAATCGATGTGAAGAGCGTGTCTTGCAGACGTTGCAAGTGAATGTGAGTTCGTATGACGGGACTTGTTCGCGCTCTAGTCGTGAGTCTGGCGCGTCTGTTGACGTGGGAGGAGCTGCGCTTGACTCAAAGCGGACAGTGGAAGGTATCCGCGCACGTGATAGTATGAGTGAAGGGCGAATGGCAGCTGACGTTTGCGGTGTGTGGAAGAGACGCTTTGCAGGCGTGGGAATGCGCTCGGCATGGGGGATTCGTGCAGTCCAGGGCGCAGTGCTTCGGGCGATGCCTCGCAACAAAGAGGTGGAGGAGCGCATGGTAATATGACACAAACTGACACGACTCAAAGATGGTGAAAGAATGAGCTGGCGACTGTGAAACGGCGTGTGAGGTACGACGAACGGAAGTGCAGCGGGCAAAGAATAATTGACCGAGCGCCAAGCCATGACGACGGCGAGCTCTCGTGCAGCGGGGACCCTCGCCCGCAACACGCCCGGCACTTGAACTTCACCATCACTCGCGTCTGCCGCCACGCGTGCCATTCCTTCACTGTCACCCTCGCAGTGCTGCGTGTTAGCCCCCAAATGTTCTTTTGAACCACCGGCCTCTTCCTCACACCCACGCCACACTGGGCATCTGCACCATCAGCCTACCTCCGCCTTCGACCGTACCGAGCTTCGAAGCTCTAGATATCATACGATCAGAAGAGCGCAGCAGCGAATATGATCGCAGGACGAGGAAGACAGCGGATACGGCCGCCAAGGAGGGTACGTACTGCGCGCTCGCTTTCACTTTCACTTTCCTCGCGTGCTAGTCTACGCCGCTCAACCTCGCTGTCATACAAAGAAAACCCACTCTGTAGACTCAACACTGATAACGGCGCGTTCGCAGGGTCTGCACGGTGACGAGGTCGATTTCGAGAACACGTGGGCCACCATCGAGGCGGCCTTTAGGGAAATCCACACAAAGAATGCGTCCAAGCTGTCGTACGAGGAACTTTACCGCCACGCATACCGAATCGTTTTGAAGAAGAAAGGCGAGGCTCTCTACGAGAAAGTTCACGAATTCGAGCGAAACTGGTTGAGCACGGAGGTCCGAGCCTCAATCTCGCAATTGCTCTCAACCAACCTACTTGTAGACGCGCAGAGTATCGGCGGAACTACACCAAACGAGCGACGTGTAGCGGGCGAGAGGTTTCTGAAGGGACTGAAGCAGGCATGGAGCGATCACCAGATCTGCACCAGCATGCTAGCAGACGTGCTCATGTACATGGTAAGACAATACCTCGACTGACTGAGGAGAGGATAATAACTAACATGGCCTGTTTAGGACCGTGTCTACTGTGCAGATCATCGTCGCCCATCAATCTACAACGCCGCCATGGTCCTGTTCCGCGACGAAATCCTCAATTCCAGGATATCCCCGACCGACGCTCGAGCGATCCTCAATCTGCTGAACAACATTATTCTCGACCAGATACAAATGGAGCGTGACGGCGACGTCATCGACAAGCAGCTTATCAAGTCCTGCGTGTACATGCTGGAGGGCCTACACGAGGGCGAGATAGAGGCAGAGGACCAGCGATTGTACAACACGTCTTTTGAGGTGGAGTATCTGGACACCAGCAGGGCCTTTTACCGTGGAGAATCGGAGCTCTTACTGCGCGATGCGCATGCCGGCGCATACTGCAAACACGCGCGACGCAGAATTTACGAAGAGGACGAGCGCTGCAAGCAAACACTTTTGGAGACTACCGGACCCAAGATTCAGAAAGTCGTAGAGGAGGAGATGATCAAGTTCCGGATACACGAGCTTGTCGAGATGGAGAGTGGTGTACGCTTCATGATCGACAACCATAGACTAGAAGAGCTGAACCTCATCTACGATCTAAACAAGCGGGTAGATGAGAAGAAGATTCAGACAACCCGAGCCATTCAGCAGCGCATTGTCGAAATGGGCTCAGACATCAACAAGGACGCGATCGCGGCGTCACTAGCGCCAGCCGTTGCACCTGCCGCTGATGCAGCCGACAAGGGCAAGGGTGCCGCGCAAGAGAAGAGCCTAAACCAGCAGACTGTCGCTGCGATCAAGTGGGTCGAGGATGTCCTTGCCCTGAAAGATCGGTTTGACAAGATTTGGCGAGAGTCATTCGAGTGCGATCCGCTACTGCAACAGGCGCAAACAGCAAGTTTCTCCGAATTCATCAACTCGGTGACATTCCCACGATCATCCGAATACATTTCCCTCTTTATCGACGAAAACATGAAAAAGGGCATCAAGGGCAAGACTGAGGCTGAGATCGATGCTGTCCTGGAGAAGGCTATCATCCTGCTACGATACGTACAGGACAAGGACCTCTTCGAGCGCTACTACAAGAAGCACTTGTGTCGACGTCTGTTGATGAACAAGTCCATCAGCAACGAAGTCGAGAAGCAAATGATTTCAAAGATGAAGATCGAGCTCGGCAACAATTTCACACTCAAACTGGAGGCTATGTTCAAGGACATGACCATCTCCGAAGAGCTTACTGCCGGCTTCAAGAAGCACGTGGAAGGCCTCGGAGAGAAGGATCCCAAGCGCATCGAGCTGTCCATCAACGTGCTGACCAGCATGACGTGGCCTCTCGAGACCATGGGTGGTGCGGCTGCCGACGAAGAGGACAAGCGACCGCGATGCAATTACCCTCTCGTTGTAGACAAGCTCAAGCGCGGTTTCGAGAAGTTCTACAGCCAGAAGCACTCTGGACGACAGCTTACCTGGCTACCCAATATGGGATCAGCAGACATCAAGGCCGTCTTCCCCAAGGTCCCTCAGAAGGATGGCTCTGTCAAGGAGCGTCGCCATGACCTCAACGTATCGACATATGGCATGATCATTCTACTCCTCTTCAACGAGCTTGACGCAGGCGAGCGTCTGACATTCGAAGAGATCCAAGCCCAGACCAACATCCCCCCCAGTGACCTCATCCGGAACTTACAATCGCTCGCCGTAGCACCCAAGACGCGCATCTTGATCAAGGAGCCCATGTCCAAGGACGTCAAACCCACCGACAAATTCTCGTTCAACGAAAGTTTCCAGGGCAAGTTCGTCAAGATCAAAGTCGGTGTCGTCAGCGGCGGCAATAAAGTTGAGAGCGATCGCGAGCGACGCGAGACTGAGAAGAAGAATGATGATTCACGAGGCTTCTGTATCGAGGCTGCCGTGGTGCGAATCATGAAGTACGTGTCTCCCTACCGCAACCACAGAGAACATGCTAACAACAGACCAGGCAACGTAAAGAACTCTCGCATCAACAACTCATGTCCGAGACCCTCAGCCAACTCGTCGGCCAATTCAAGCCCGAGGTCAACATGGTCAAGAAACGCATCGAGTCGCTTATTGAGCGTGAATATCTGGAGCGCGTAGACGGCGCGCAGATTGATTCGTATAGATATCTGGCTTAGGGAGCAGAAGAGGATAATCTGCATAGCACTTCAGCAGCATGTTTGCAGGCGTTTTTGGGGTTGATCGCTAAATTTGTGGGAGCGGACTACCCTTATGGAATGAATGAATGCATAGCTTGGCGTCGATGGAGTATAGTCATGGGCCTCGTATGGGAGATTTTTGTAGATACCTTTTATAATCAAAAGAGACGAATTTGGTAATGAAGAATATGAGCATATGTACACGAAAGAATTTGCTGTGAACACACATGAAGTCTCTATTGGCAGGTGGTGATTATCGCAGCTATCTGCCCTAGATCCTGCTCTATGAAGAAACTCATCCAATCCCTCACTTATACCTCCCAACAACCTTCCTCCTCTTCTCAAACGCATCCCCAGCCATAGATCCACTCCCCCTCGGCCCATCTCCCACAGGCCTCTTCCTGCTCTTCTCCAAGCTCCCCAACTTCCCACTTTTCTTCTGCGTCAACTTCTCAATCCGATCAATCCCCGCGCCCAGACTCCTCCACTCCTCACCCCCAAATCCTCCATCCCGCTGCTGCCTCGCCTTCTGCTTCGCAGCATCCTTCTTGCTACCCGGCGCCAACCGCGTAAAGTTCGCTTCTTCATACTCGCGCCTCTCGTTCTCCTCACGACGTTCGCGTTCGGATTTGGTATGTCGCCCGCCGTGCGTGATGGTGCTTCCAATGCTGGGTTCGGCAATGGGCGCGCCGGAGAGCTCGGTCGCGATGAACTCGTCGAGGGTGGCGGATTTTCCGGGACGGCGCTCGCGGCGCTCTTCGCGGTTTTCGGGTACGGGCATCGCCATGGGCGTTATCTTGGGTGGGCGGTAGATACCGTCTTTTGCGGTTTCCGCGCGCGCGCGCTCTTGGGCTGCTTCGGTTTTTTGGCGTGTCACGAGGGCGCGGCGAGGACCGTAGGCCATTTCGTCTTCGTCTTCCGAGGTTTGCGCTGTGCCGGCTGATTCGGCGTCGCTGACGTCGGAGTCGGAGCCAGTGTCTGTCTTGGTCTTCTTGGGTTTGGGGGTGGGTTTTGCGCTGGCTTGGGTGGTGCGGCGTGTGGCATCGTCGGCTGTGCGGAGAATCTTGTCGATTTGGTACTTCAGGCGGCTTTCGAGAGGTCGTACACCCTTTTCTAGGTAGATTCGCAGTTCCACTAGCTTTTGGACGACTTCATCTTGGGGGTGGAGATTTGTTTCGTGCTGGTCGCCTTTTCGTGCTCGAAGCTTTAGGAGGATGAGGAAGACGAGGTTCTGTAGATATGACAGAAGCAGTTCGTTCTTGACATCCAGTAGGGAAATGCCTTCCTTTGGTGGTAAGATGTCGTCATTTGGAAGCGCTTCCGTAGCAGACTGAATAGACGTAGTGAGAGTCGCCAGTAGCGACTCTAGTGAGTTGTCGACAGTCATGGTGTCTTGGGTTGGAGTGGTGGTCGTTGCTGCTGCGCGTCGTACCTGTCGATGTTGCAAAGAAATTTTAGTGGGGCTCAAACGCGCCAGGCGCACGGGCCACTGCGGTCATCGCGTCGTTGGTGGGCTGCCTGTCCCAAATCCTTCGATTTGTGTGACCTTATAATGTCACAATACCAATACTCGCCATGTTCGACGCCAACCTCCATACGGCTCCTCGCCGTTTCAGGCACTCAAGATAGTCCATCGTACGCAATAGAGGAGGTAGACCTCGCGGACAGCCCGCGTTTTGAAGCGCTCTCATACACATGGACCGACTATGACAATGAGGAACCCAAACCATCACATGGAGATTTGAACCCTTATGGGTCAATTCCCATATCTGGTGCCGGGTCTCTCAGAATCACGCTGCATCTCGCGGGCATCTTGCAACACATCCACGGACTATTGGTACAACCCGAATCCAGCGGCAAAATTTGGATTGATCAAATTGCAGTGAACCAGCACGATCTGGATGAGCGAGGCCACCAGGTCTCTCTCATGCAACGCATCTATGGGCAGGCGGAGCGCACACTCATGTGGATTGGCATGTCCATTGAGCATACGCCTGTGCTACTTAATTTGACCAAAGAGCTGGGCGATCTACCGCCGCTTGACATCTTCTGGACTGAGGCGATGCACAAGGACTTGGAAAGCAGGTTGCTGGCTGTCTTATTTCGAGAGAACGAGGCAGGCTATGGAATAGCACAATACGTCCAAGCACTGAATTGGGTCCTTGGTCGCCCGTACTTTAAACGTGCTTGGATCGTCCAAGAGGTCGTGCTGTCTACTCGGCCCACTATGATACTTGGAACTACCCCATCTGATGTTTCCATACTTTATCGTATCATGGTCGTCATCAGTTATTCCTCAAAGCCGGCTCTGCAAGATATTCATTCGCTCATTCCAGATCAGATCGCAGTTGACCGCTTGCTAAGCATGGACACGGCACGTAGTTGGCTACGAGGCGATCCCACGCGAAGCACCTTGTACAGCGATTTCCTGGACGTGCTGTTCTGGCTCTCATCATCACGTGAGGCCAGCGACCCAAGGGATGCCATTAATGCCTTCTTAGCTTTTCAAAAGAATGATTCTGGGTTAGACTTAGTTGCGGACTACAGATTATCTAATGGACAAGCATACCGGAAGTTTTGTTTAGACATGGCGCAAAGGACTGGCTCACTTGCATTCCTGGGGCTTGTCCGCGGCAGCGCAGACCCGGAGATACCTTCTTGGACCATAGACTGGCGAGTGGACGTCTCTTCTGCAGGAGACAGATGGCAGGGTTACAGGATAGGCGACACTCCACATTACCCGTACGCCGCTGCGAAGGGACGATCATGCCAAGCGAACGAAATAAAACGAGAAGGCGACATGCGTTTCGTCGCTCGAGGCCGAATCATTGACACGGTCCAATCCATCTCACATATCACTCGTGAAGAGATCGCAACCTTTGGAGTAGAAAACGTACGTCTGGCCGAAGAAATGGCTAACCTCAGATCCACCATGCCTACAGTGGATATCGGTACACCTGCCAAGGCAGGTATTACCAAAGAACGCGTCTTCCTCACGCTCTTGGGCCATGATCTCGGTCCACAACCCCGTGTGGAGCCACTACAATATACCACAGCGGAGTTGATCTCAATGTACGAACGCTTCATTGACACGAAAACACCCGAACCTGTTAGTGAAGCAGTTCACAAAGAGAAGTTCCCTCAAATGAATTTAAGGCTCATCCACAAACGACTCTTTCTCGGCCATAAGCACTTGTTTGGGCTTGGGCCAAAAGCCATTCAACCAGGCGATTGCATATGCATCATCCACGGGTCTACAGTCCCTCTACTACTGCGACAGTGTGAGAACGGAAAAGAGTATACTGTGGTAGGGCAATGTTACTACGAAAGCTGGATGTATGGCGAAAAAGTCGATTGGGAGGAGGACGAAGCTGATGAGTTTGTACTGATATGAGTAAACTTAGTGCTTGGCCGAATCACTACTGGTTTCAAGCGATGATCATCGAGCGAACAGCATATCCATGCTGCGGTTCATGCATTTCATTCAGGAACCATTTCGCACCCTTGTCCAATAACGGAAGAACCGATTTCGACGTCATTCCCAAATACTCGTGCCTAATTTCCGCTTCTCGACGTCTTCTTTACGCAACCAGATACCTCTGGTGTTGTCATGCTACCGGAGCGCGCTCCCGCCTTTCCGACTGTGGCGCCTTGTCGGGAATAACGCACCAATCGCAGCCTACCGTCCCAAGCACTATCAAACGCTCTGGTGCATGCGACCCAACCAGCGCTCAGGATCGTGCATAAACCTTGCACGCTAGTCCAGTGTTTTCTGGAACGTTGCCTGGCGTGTACATTTCCTACTCTCACCATCATCAGATAACCCAAGCCACAATTCTTTGCTAACTAGTCAGCACACCGTAATACGTAGTCGGCGACGCGGCATTGTGGCTGCAGAATACGATACCAATAGTCGTTGAAACGAGGTCAGATCTCTCAGAAGACATGCCGATGTCGTCCATCGAAACATCGGTGAGAGAGAAGCATATCCAACGTGGCTGTAAGGCAGGGCGTGCCCTCAAGTCATCACGCCAGGACCAAACAATCCGCATCCAGAACGCGAAAACGACAATACTTCGACTCACATAACAGTCAGCGTCATCACCCCATAGTCCCTCTCATCCGTCCTCCACCAGCATCTCATCCCCCAATAACACCCCTGTACTGTCCTGTCGGTCTTACACAACTGCCCCCTGCCCATCTCTCCCACACTCGACACACGTACTCATCTCCGCACCTCGGCTTCTCGAAGCACGTTCACACATTCCACTGCTTTTCCAGAAGGCCCGAAAAAATGGGTGGGTGTACGGGTAAAGTCACAGGAAACCCCAACATGTGGGGTAGAGACAAGGCTAGGCCACCTACCACGCCCCTGGTCTGCTCTTGCAGGATCTATATTACACTTCTAGCAGGGGTGTACGCGTTAGCTCAGGTTGTGAAGGAGCGCGCGGCGCGCGGGCTGTAGTTAGATTTGCGATGATGCGTTTCACGTGTACTGATGCATTGAGAGTGGTGATAGGATGGTATTTCGCTATGTGTGTGGGTCGCATATGTGCGTTCTGGTGGAGTAGCCTCATGCTTATGCATGCGAGATGCCTCGTGTGGACTTCGGTGGGAAGCTTTGGTCACCGTAGAAGTGGCAATGCGTAGCGGAGGAAGCCACCGCGCCGTACCGAGCCCGGATTCAGATGGGGTACATCGTGGTACCCACAGATCATCTCTTCAGTTCATTGCTTTGACCCACCCAGCGGTTCCCTGACTGTGCTTCGCCACCACGAGGAGTTGATCTCAGCGTTTGGTGAGATCGACGCAGCGGCTTGCTGATTGCCTGGGTTTGCACAAGATCGTCCCAGCTGGTATGGCCAGAATCTCCGTGGAGAACTGATTGTCGTTGGATACCAATGCAGACACTGTGTCGTGCCAAACTGCCCCATATGGAGCAGTGACTCGCCAATCACTCTCGGCATGTACACTCGGAGTACGGCAGATGTGAGGACCTGGTTCATGGAGACCTAGTACTTGTTTGTCACGACGCCCGATGCAGGATGTTGGAGATGAAGGTCTGTGCTGGACCCAGAAATGGGTTCGTCGAGAAGCGCCGCATGTGTCGAGTAGATGATAGTCGCTGTCGCGTGAGATCGTCGCTCGACTTTCTGATCCATGTGTACACGGAGGCTACCAGAATTGGAAGGTAGCTTCAGCTACAAAGACATGGCAAGCATGTGGATCTGCGTTGTACCTTTCCTGCTTTGGAGGATCCACAGTCGGAGTCTCGTACTGGGTGGCACTCTGGTACTGCGAGATCAGAGTCAAACGTCGAATTTGAGTCCTGCTGTTCGTAGCCACATCTGCCGTTTTCCTTCGGCTTCGCGGATGATCTCGGCGGAGAGCTGCAAGCTGGGTGCGAGGTGGGCGTATCGTTCCATTTCGAGAACAACGTTGTTGATGATGTCGTCCATGGTCGCTGGTGGAGGGAGCAGCTGAGATAGCGAAGGAGTCATTGTCGCACCCATAATAAGCAATGTCTGCGAGATGATGCTACAAGACTGTTAGCAAACGCAATGTTGATAATTAGTGAAACTTACGAGAGAGCACCCTGGAAGAGATAAGGCAGGTGCCCAGCGTGGTGCGCAGTGATGTACTCCAGTTGACGAACGCATGCCTCGAGGCATTTGTGGCAATTATCTTGTACACTCGAATCCATGGCCAAAGTCTCGTCCTGCAAGACCAAAAGCACGTATGGACGGAATATAATGGTGCGGCATGCGAAGTAGCGCAGTCTTAGAACAGTCTGAACCGGGTTCTGCAAAGGCACTCTGTCGAGCGGGAACTGCATGGCTGGCGGCAGCCCGGCGTACCATTGGTTCAGCTGGTAGTCAAGTTCTACAACTAACGGATCTAGTTGCGCGATGGATGTCGCAGCTGGACCTTTGGAATACGGTGTGGTTCTGATGTAGAGCATGGAGCTCACGCGGTTGAGTAGTCTCCGGAGGGCGATCTCTGCAAGGAAATACCACAGCTCATCTCGGCCGACTGCTTCTGTTCCTAGATCTTCGAATCCGGTCGGCAATGCAAAGCCTTCCTCAAACTGTGCGAGGCCGGAATGGGGAAGATCAAGCTCTGCTAGCAGGTCGCTTTCGATCATGACAGCATTCCAGTACACTCTTCTGCCCAACTCCTCTTCCGCTGGAGACACGCGACCAGGCGCGCTTAGAAGGAGTTGCAACTTCATGCTGGCGCCCGATAATACGTTCCATGCTTCGACTGGGCGTACAAGATACACCAAGTATGCTGCAGCGAGGATTTGACATTGCGCAGCTACCATGTTGTTTCTTGTCATGACGGTCGGCAATAGATTCCATGCTGCGGTAAAGTATGCCAGGCCTGGAGGATCCTTTTCTGGGTTTTGTTGTGTGATACTACCGGTGCTTGCAGCATGACCCAGCGCAAGGACGAGAAGAACTATGCAGCTTTCCGGCCCATCTCGGAAACCATGGCTGAGGGCGGTCTGGTAGTGACTGGTCCATGTATATGGATTTACGACCGCATAGAAGACATTTACTCTCTCAAAGTATGCCTGCACGTACGCGCCAGTATTCGAGAGATCCAACCCGCGGCTCGTTCCAAGGCTTACTGACTCCCGAGTCATCTCGAGCTGGAGAAGAAGCTTGGCGTCATATTGGCGAGACACAAGCTCTCTGATCATGGGAGATGACAGAAGATTGAGTGCCGCAGTATTGTGGGTTTTCGGCATGGTCGAGATGTTTGACGGGTGGTTGGTCCATGTTCCTATGCCGTTGATCGGCTGTACCATGCCGAGATGGGGTATATTGCCGGTGCTACGGGCAAGGAAATCTTCGCTGGTGGAATTGCTCGCGGCTGGCGAATGTGACGATAAGGAGAAGTTACTAGTGATGCCAGATTGTAAAAGGCCCTCAATGCGGTTCAAATGCTCTAGGATCAGCTTGTCGCCTGCGTCCAGCTTAATGCCCGGCTCTCGGTATATGCACTCGGCATTCAGCTCGGTACACAATCTGCACTTTGGCCTGTTTCCGTCGCATCGACTTTTCCGTGACCGACATATTTCGCACTATTTGATGTCAGTGTTTTGAGACGGACAAGTCGAAATAAGGGTGATGTACAGCGATCGTCGCACGCCGGCGCGGGTAGTCTATCGTGTCGGTACTTGGTCGCTTCTTTGTGCTCGGTCGTGGTTCGGTGCTCGTGCCGTTGGTACCATTGCTAGTAGGTGCGATTCCATTTGACGCGGGTGGGGTATTATCATTGGACATTTCCCGGTCTGTACCAGAGGATTGAGACATGTTGCGGGGCCGCTTCTTGAAGGGATTACTCAGACCAACGCTTCCAGGGAACAATCCATTCGGGGAGTCGAGAAGGTGAGGGGACGTCAGGGCAGACTTGAGGATAAAGGTATTTGCGTCGGGCAAAGCGGAGAGATTGAGGCAGAAGGCGTCGCGTGGGAAGCCTCCATTAGTGGTCGCTGCTGACACGGGACTAACATCTGGAGAAGGAGTAATTCCAGCCATGATTGGTGGACGGTTAGACAGCGGCCGGGGCACGCTGCACAACTTCTGCGGCGTGCAGCCACGATATCGAGACAAAGTCGTGGATTCCAAGGCGTCACAGGGTGGAGGACAGGCGGAGCTGATGGAGGCAGGACACGGCAATTCGGTATGAAGATGAGACGGCAGGACGCACGACGATTATAACCACACCAAATCTCGCCTCATCCTTAGCTCCTACACCTACACATTTCACAAAACGGGCTTTGCGAGATGAGCGACGCGAATGCGGGGGTGACAAGGGCATCAAGCACTCCACATTTGCGCTCTGACAATCAAAAAATGGCGCCAGTGATCCCTCCAAGGGTCTCGCGTCGAGCCGTGGCCGGCACCGTGATGTTGCTACCCACCCACCCACGGCCGCAGCTTCGCCCGGTCGACGATAAATTGCCTGCAACATGCCGGACGTTTGGGTAGACACACGATCAGCGTAGTGGTGGTGGCAGCCTCGAACGAGTGGTGGCAGCCTGCTTACAGAAGCGTCCGCAGGAAGCACGGAGCATGGGAGGCCATGCGGTGTGTCTGGAGAGGCCCGCGAAGCGAGATGCCTGCCCTCCAACTCTTCAGCGTGCTAACCGCGTACAATAGGCTAATACACCAGGAAAACGGCCGACCTAAGATCGTACTGCGCATGCTATTGCCTTGGCATGGTGCGTCCAGCATGACTGTGATCAGCGAACGGCGGCAGTGGACCTGCATCAACAGCATCTCCTGATCATTCGCGCTACGCCTTCACAAGTCCGCTGCATTTCCATATTGCTACCAAGCCACTCGAACTCCACTCGAAGACTTGCAACCCGTCTGATAGGCGCAAGCATGCTTCCATGCAGCAATTCATATTAACTTGCTACGCAAGTGCAATTACCAGGTACATCCTGGCGTCTACCTAGGTACCTGTAGGAGCCGTGGAACAAGTGGACTCTGCCACACAACGGCTGGGGTCTCGACCAGTGATATCCGCTGCTGACTCCGGCACTGCGTCCTAGGATTCACATACTTCGACTATGCGTATGCCGGTGATCCAACACCGTGTACAGAAACGCCCATATCGACTGACTCAACGCTGAGTCGAAGCGGCATAACGACAGCCATAGTGCAGTTCCAAGACACGGAGTTGTCTGTCTTCGTGTAGCTCAGCCTAGGGGCTGAATCACCTGCGATGGCGCGACCAGTGAGCAAAAGCTTCTAGAAGACGAGGAAGAAGACATGTCTTGGACATATTGATCTGCGCTTCAAGCGGTTGAACCCCAGTCGTGCGCCACATGATGGGGTAGACGCTCGGTAGTCGACATGACCAGGATGCTTTCTGCTCAATGGCGTAGCCTGGTGGTTATGTCTCAGGCTACGCCTCCTGCCTTCTGAGCATAGGGTGAATAGCCGGTGGGTACCTGAATCTGACCACCGTTCGGTATCGTGGAGCCTGTTCAGGCGGCCATCAGTGGTTCGGCCGGCAGGAGGTTGTGTTCGCTGTCTCTGACAAGGCAGAAGACGTGATGCGTGACGCAGGAGATGTCATGGTCGGTGTCGCGACAGGGTCAGGCTTATCGGCAGCTTCATGCAACGGCAGATGTCAAGCCAACCCAACAACGTCATGTTCGCTCAACGTACTCTATCTGAGCATATTGTTGCGAGGCTGCCGGTGCATCAAGCGCTGCATCCTGGGAACGAAGCTGCCTATTTTAGCTTTCTGGGGTAGACCCTTGGACATGCGAGCTGGGCCCTAAACAGACACAGTACTTACTACTTCCAGTTTAAATGTGAGATATGGCGATGAGGTCGATAGACCGGACTGTACTGAAGCTCTTTGCCTCATGAGGTCCTTGATGCTTGGACAGTCACCACAGACGACTACCTTTCAGTTTTGGTAAGCCCTCGCCTCGACAGGCTTGGAGAAAAGATCCAGCCCGACTAGGTCAGAATGATACCTAGCTGACTAGATACGCGGTCAGTGATATTCATGGCTAATCAAAGGGTTACCAGTGACATGATCAAAAAGAGTTCTTCTCGTCTCAATTGGTCCTCGCGATGACGTCGCTTCCCGTTACACAGATACAAACGCACCGCCATGTGAAAGAAGGAAGAGCGGCACAGCCACAGATTTGCAAACAAACAAACACTGGGCCATGCTAAGAAAGGTCTCGAGAGGTCGTCGCCTGCTGTCTTCCAACCACATCTGCGTGCTCAAGCAACCCAGTTTAGGCACACTTCGGAGGACCGCGCGATCAACACAGTAGCACAAACGCCAATTTGCAAGGGTGGCTTCTTTGTACAACCCCAAACATAAAGCTGGAAGCAATCGACGCTCTCATCACACAAACCATGAGACCGAAAGCACTTGAAGCTGCTGCAGTACAAGACAACGGGAGGAAGTCGCCAGCTGAACGACAGGTACTTCTCCTCTCAAATCCCTATCTTACTTGTTGCATACTAACACTCCTCAGATCCACTCCCCCCAAGACCAAGATACCCCGGTCGCCTCCACAGCCCCAGCATCGATCACGAACAGCAGCACGACCGGCACAGACGGCACCATCGAAGCCACCCCAACCGCCGCAACCATCGTCTCAGAAGTTGTTCAGAGCGTCAAAATCGTAGTCGACGGCGCGATAGCGTGGGCCGAACAAAAGATTGATAAGCTGAGTGCTGAGCAAGACACTACGGGTCCGTATGCTTCGCCAGCCACTTGCATGCCATCTGATCTCGATGCGATCGCGAGCGGCATTTTGCCTGCCATGCCAGCTGCGAGGCAGTATGATAGGGCCGTTGATGATGGAATGAAGGAAGGAAAGGGCACTGAGAAGAGTACTAAGACTGGGAAGGAAGAGGAAGCAAGGAAGTGAGGCCAGTAGGATGAAGGGAGAGAGCGCAAGATATCAGCTTTTGGAGATGATTTGAATGGTGACGAAGAAGGAGATGAGGTCTAAATAACGGATTGGCATATGATACCCAAGTATCACTTCGAATCGTGAGAGCGGCTACGGCGAAGTCGTAATAGTAAATGAAAATCATGAACAGCATTCAACCATGGAGCAATCTTCGAAGGAAACGAGAAAGATCGCAATCTTCAGATGCAATTAGCGATATGATGCACAAGAGTTAAACTATACCCATCTTTCTACGTAGTAGATCATGCTGCTTTCTCTCTGACCAGGTCGTCATTCTGCATCTATTTCCTAGCAGTCGATCCCAGCCACATCAAGAGAAGCTCGTGGTGACACAAAGTGGGGTACACATGCTCTACCTCCAAGTATCCCAGCTTTCCCTGATTCACCTCTTGCAACATAAGCCCCTCTTCACCATGGCGAAACAGTGTCCCATTTGCTCCAGAAGATTCAGTTCCAATCTGGCACTGAAGAATCACACAGGCACCAACGACGCAGCTCTCCGCCGCGCTCACACATGTCACAAGTGCGAGCGGGGCTTCTGCAGCCAGAAAGCAATGGAGCAGCATCGTGACACGCCGTCGCATGGTACCATGTTCAGCTGCGACGTGTGTAAGAGGTCTTTCGGAAGTAAGCAGGCTGTGGGATCGCATAAGACGTCGTCGTTGCATAAGCAAATGCTGGCTCGCGCAAACTCCGCGATTGGAGTAGATGAGTCTTCAGGTTCGGGCAATGTAGGTTCATCATTCTGTGGTGTGGATGGATGTGTTGTTCGGACGCTGACATGTATTCCAGGCTTCATCTTACCAAGCGCAATCCCGCATATTAGGAGTGACCTCCACCGCGATCGAGGAAGCAACGCCCAGCGACATCGATAGTGAGGACGAGTACTCTGATGAAGGCGCGTGGGCACAAGAACATGTTCGGACGGTGTGGGACGATGACGACCAGGATTGGGCGCTTTGCGATAAAGATTGTGGGTGGTGCGGACATTGCGCTGATGGAGTTGACTACTGAGCCCCTGCGAGCATACCCAGGTAATTTCAGAAGAGCTCTCAGTCTTTGAGTGGTACCGCCTAAAAGTTGCACCGGTTGGAGGGGCGTCGCAAGGTTTCGTGTGAAATAAGCTCGGTTGGTATCAGCTATGGCCATCTTCTCGATTGAAGTAAGGCAAATATGCGCGATGAATCTCGTCTCTGTCAATAGCTTGGTTACTTCCCGCGAGTCCGTTCCCCAACCGTTTTGTTAGTACTGCAAGAAATGTAGAGGAAAAGAAGGTTTTTTTTGTTCTTTGGTAAAACTGCATGTAGGTGAAGTACACGACATTCAGATGATCGTTACGGCCCTGCGTTCTCCAAACGAAGCCATCCTGCTAATCTCAATTGTCTTATGGTTTGCCACTCTACATAGCCCAACTCGACTGTACACGACTTGTTTTCCTTCGACAGCCTGGAGGATCAAGCAGTACAACGTGTGTATTAGCTTGAGTTTGTCTGTCCCCATCTCCAGCGATCTTTTCCACGAGGCTTTGCACACTTCGTCATTTTCCTGGGCACCTGCATAATGAGGACTATGACATACGCCTACGGGTAGACAGACCAAGGGCGCTTGATTCTGCCTGTCGGAATCCCAGATGTCCGGGTAGAAGTCACCAATGTTGTCCGAAAATCGGGTGCCGTTCTGGCCAAGAACTAGCCCGAAGTCTTCATGCTTATCTTGCATCACTGCCAGCAAAACACCGGACAAGCTCAACGAAGCTCTCGACGTTACTCCGAACGGATGGTCTTCGTGGGTTATTGGATCCGAAACATCGAGGATATCGACCAGTGATGACAAAGGGATGCGACTCGCGTCGTGATTAGCCGACAATAGATCTGAGTACGTTACACGACCCTTGATTGAGGCCCATGACCACGACGGTACTCCGCCTGATTTGGCTGTGCACGTGACCGCAATACCCCTTTTTCTCCATAGGAGACCGAGGATCATATCGTGCCTCCATAGTCCTGCGTGATAGCTGTCATTTACTGCCATTCCAAATCTTTTCGCAATGCCAGCTATTGCAGGTAGCCTATCTTCCTCGTATGTGAGATTTCGAGATGTAAACTCTTCTACTATCTTGTACCAGCAATCATAGTTGCCGAACGTTGGCTCTATTGGCATGAATGATGTTATACCATTTACTATGCACTGGAGAAGACGATGACTGTCAACCGATATATCCGGAGCGTGCGGTATTCCCAATGGGTACTTCTCGTTAGTCGAAAGTGTCGGGCAACGCCAGATGAGAAGGTCTTTCGAGAATGTGATGGTGCGGAGAGACAACACCTGCTCCTGAAGAACCCAGGCTCTTCGGGCTAAGACATTTGACACGTCCCATTCGCCGTCTCCCGGATTACCCCAGATCTCTTCTCTGTTCATCGGATACCGGAATAGGTAGCATGACTGCCCGAATAGCACGATTGGACAAGGCCAAAGGATCAGACCAAGGCGCTCTTTGAAGCATCCTTGAGTGGAATCTGCTGCTGCCGCCGCAGAAATGGTCAAAATCGAATTGCCGTAGACTTGTCCCATTGTGGGTGCTTCTTTTGCCCAATCTTCTTGCGTTTCTTGTTCTTGGATGATACAAAGAGAGTCGATCCAAATGTATTCTATGCCTATCTCCCTGCAGACTTGAACAGCGTCCCGAAAGGTTTTTGGCAATGCCTCAAATTCGATACCTCGCTGTCGATGAGGAAGGGTCCGATCAGTCGTCGACAACGGTCGATTGCGGGGGTCTCCCCAGCAGTGGCTTAGAGTGGCGTAGTAACCATGCTTCTTGTTTCCAGACACTAGATGGCATTTGCTCGATCCTTTAGTTCCTACCGCGATCACTCTCGTTGGTAAGGGTGGAGCCCGAGAACCGGCCCGGGAACAGGCCGAATGTGAACTTGAGCAGATATTCAGCCAGGCTTTGATTCTAGACAAACTTGCTGATGAGCCTGTGTTAGTGTCGTCGCCTGATGGAAGACATGTTTTCGGCAAGGTGAGATGATCGGCTGTACCACTAGTCAATCGTGAAGTACTGGAGATGTTCTAGGGATGAAGAACGCTCACTGTCCAAAGCTTTACAGATCAAACGTCCGCCCATAGTAGACGGCAAGTCCCCACATAGTATGTTGATCCGGACTTCATCAAGATTTGACCGTAATGTTGGGGCCCACCTCTTGAATTCGAGTCTGATGCCTTCACTCAAGGAAACCGAATCAAGACCCAACTTTCCAACCCATCCACCCCCAGGCTCTTGCTCCAATGAGCATTTCTCCTCCCACGCTATCAACAGCAATCCGCAAAGGTGGCAACCTTCACGTGCACTCTTGAGTATCGCATCAAACGAGTGGTGATGATCTACAATGACTTTGCGGAAGTTGTTGATGCTTTCCCAGTGCGTACTATTTAGGCAACCGAGACTCATACAAGCCGAACAAAGTCTCTGACTCTCTGACCTCTCTGGTATCCGAAGTTGACCAATCCCGAAGCATGTTGGTTGAGCTTGGTCGCCACCAGGAGGACGAACCCATCCTCCGCCCGACATTATTTCCCAAGGCAAAGGATTCGGAGTCGTTAGGTCGGGATGCGTTGGAGACGAGTGTATCTGATCTATTGGATAAAACTTCGATAGTACCTAAGTAGAACTGTGGAAACCAGTGCCCTCGCACTTGATTGGGCTACAACGATCATGCAAGCCAATGAGTAGTTTTGTTCAAGCCAGACGAATTAGCTTAGTAGGCGGTGGAGTAGAAGGTTGACCGTAGGCTGGAGGAATGGTATAGTGGGGTAACGGGTAGCTCTCGAGGCGTGGCCGGACAAAGATATGGAAGTTGGTGGGCTTAGATGTGGTGGCTGAAGTTGTGGGGCAGTGCACACCTACCTATAAGATATACCCAGCGAATGAAATGCAATGTAAAGGAAAATGTATCTGCCTAGCCGCTACGATGCCCTAGAACCATATCGCGATGATCAGTGAGATGAGCATATAGCTGGAGCGATATGCAAGGCAGCGAGAGAGAGCCAGCACAACCAACACAGTCACAAGCCTAGATACAGCCAGCACAATCGTCACATGTAGTGATGAGTTCTGGCTAGCAGTAAAGTCCAAAGATGAAGCATACCTAGACATCCTACCGATCACGAACCAGATCTCGTCTAGAATGGTGATTTCGCATCCTACCTAGGTAGGCAAGGCAAAAGGGATGAGACGCCCAATTCGCTGTCGCATCACTACATATGATGTCTATTAGCATCAGATCAGATCCACACTCACGGCCAGCGATCTGGCCCTGTGGGTAGTGGCAGCCAACGTCTTCGTGGAAGTCGCGTCGATAGCGACCGGAGTACACCAACCCCCCGGCGGACCCGCAAAAAGTGGGGAAACCGTTCCCAATCCATACTAACCTCGGTCCCAGCCAAAAGCATCACAACGACGCGACTGTGATATGCGCGTCCCTGCTACAACATAGAGCCTTCCTCTCCTTCTTCTCGCTTCTCCAATTCGTAGCCTCTCTCATACCCATCACCAGCTTTAAGACGATCCTGAAAGCAGCACTCACCACCATGACGTCAATAACCTCGCAATCGCACCCCTTGCTGCAGGCTTCTTCAGCTGCGTACGCCATTCTGGCGATTGGGCATACAGTAATAAACCACAGAGTTTTGAGGTATGGCGTTGTACTGATAGGATGTTGTAGTTGAAAGGTTTGGACCAGTTCAAACACCCGACGATGAACACGTTGCCGCTCATGCTGCGCGGGGCTAGTAAGATCGGTTGGTACGAGGGTAGCGGGTTCTTTGTTATTATGAGTTAGTCTGCGATTGAACATCAGTAGTATGAGGAGTTTTTGATTGACGTGTTTACAGGTATCCTCAACTACAAGTGGTCGGTCACGGGCATCTACGATGTGTACGACAAGAGCATCGCGGGTGTCTTGACGACCCTGCTGGCGGCAGCGGGTGCGGCCTACTGGAAGAGCAACGATAGGCCTACGGCTATTACTCTGGGTGTTGTTGCCATCTTACAGGGACTGGGCGTGAGGAATGCGTCATACTCGCGTTTGACTTAGATGTCATGATATATGCACGATAAGTTCAAGATATATAGGAAAGACACATTTTGATTACTGTTATTTCAGGCCCACTATTTGGACCTGATATCGTGGAAAGCATTATCGTGGACCCGTGAATCGTTATAAAGGGACATGATGGGTATAGAACACCATTACAGCACTTGTCCAACTTTTGAACCTTTGACCGTGAAAACAATCGAAGCAATACCCGTACCGTGAGCGCCGGCACCTGTCCCTGTACCATTTCCATATTGGTGAGCGCTTTCTGAGCGCGCCCTTCTTATCCTTTTACTCCTGGATCTCCTTGTTCTTCTGGATGCTGACGGGTACGGTGCGCTTAGCGCTGCCGAGTAAACGCTCAAGGCGGGCGACGTAGTAGTCGGCGAAGCTTTTGCTGCCATCACGCTTCCACTCATCGTCGGCCAGCTGCTCAAGGCGTAGGCATGTACGGTCAACCATGTCTTCGATTTCCTCAGCCCAGTTGCTCTTCTCAGTGACGCCATCGCTCTTCAAGCTGGCGCCGTCGCTACCGCCAACAATGGTCTTGATTGACGCGGTGCTCGTCTCCATGAGTGTAGAGGGGAAGCAAGGTGCAACCGAGTTCGTAGGCAAGTCGTCGGAGGTGAACGTCAGGTACTCTACGATGCGCGGGTTTACGGCAGGAGAACCTAGAGCGATAGGAACTGAGCCTTCAGTCACCTCGATGGGGTCAAGGATCTTACGAGCTTGTCCTGAGCCTTGCTTATCCCGACCGCTGTCGCTCAGCACCTCGGAGATGCTCGCTATATCGACCTCCTCGTCCTCATTGATGGATGCCTCTGGTGAGTAGTTGCTGGATCCCACGTCTCCCTCACGGTGACGGAGCTTGCGATCATCGATCTTCAGCTGCGCGAGTCTATCGCCAATCACACTGAAGCCGCGACCGCGGGTCACAGGGAAGCGATATGAAACGGACGGGGCGGGCGAGCCGAGTGTAGGCGTGTTGATGGGCGGGGATGGATAACCAGCCTCCAGGGCGGCCTCGTTGAGCGACTCTTGGATAGGGCCCAGGATCTTGGCGACAGCAGTGTAGTCCATCTCCGGCGGAGGGTCAATAGGCTCGTAAGGGCTACCTACAGACTCAGTGGCTGGTGTGGGATTTGGCACCGATGGGCCATTGGACTGGGAGCCCAGCGAAGTGACCTTGGTCGTAGTGGTGGAAGTCATGATGCGGCTGGAGCTGAGAGTTGAGTTGCGAATATTCCTGACTTTTTGAGCTCGTTAGTAATGCTGATGTATTCTAGCGCTGTGATAGGCTGAGCCAGCTGAATCAGACTTCCTGTTGCGGACAGTGAAGAAGTCGGATGAAGTGCAGGTTAGCTTACTTGAAGAAGTTGCTGGCGCCGGATTATGATAGTGGCGCAGTTGAGATCTTGTGATGCGGAAGGTCGACCGTGAATATAGTCGCTCGTAGTTGTCCGGTCTGAGTGTGGGGAGTGCGGATGGTGATTGTGGAGAAGGTGCGTGCGCCTGCCCAAGTTCAAGAGCGTGGAAGCAACGAACGCGTCACGAGCAAACACAGACCCGGAAGTAGCCGCAGGACCTAGACCTTTGTATTAATAGTTAGAAGATGCTGGGGATGCAAACGGTTTGCGGGGTGGAATGCGCAATTCAAATCGATGTGCTGAAAGTTGACTGCATTTGCGCTTCACCTACACCCTCCGCGGCAGATGTTCCAGACCAGCAGCACGTATTGAGTCCATACTACGTTGTCGGATCGCTTCAATTTCGCCCGATGGCGTCCTGAACACGGAAGTGCTAGACGGCAGATCGTGAAGTGCGATTCCAGTCACGTCTGCAGGCCCATTGTTGGGCTCATCCTGGCGATCTTCACTTGTTTCCTTCTCCTTCTTTGCAGCGTACCAATATGGGAGGTTGTAATACGCTCCGCACAGGAAAATGCCGATCCACAGCACCAGTTCGGAGCCGTAAATTACCAGACCCAAGACGTCAAGCTTAGGCTGGAAGACGACTGACACCAAGGAGAAAAGATCTCCCAGAGCATCAATACCGACAAAGATGAAGGAAATGCCACGAACAGTCCGGTGAACATAGACATCCACGTAGTGCCTCAAGACACCGGCAGCAAGCAGAGCGGCCGAAGCAACAGCCATGAGGATACTGGGCCAGTGCAGCCCCTGTGACTTGGCATGTTGGATGGCGAAGATGAGACCGACTTGCACGCCGCCCATCAAACAGGCCACAGGGATGACAACGACGAGCGAGCGGAGAACCGACCAACTCTATGAGATATTAGCCATCGTACTGATAGGTGAGCTGTTGACGGAACCGCTTACCTTCTCATAGTAGTAGCACTGAATCCACGTCACCAGACTCAGTACGGTAAGAATCTGAGGCTGAATGCGCAGAGCAATGTTGTAGTCTTCAGCGATGTTATAAACGCCGAGGGGAACCCCAGCCCATGCCCACAGCATCATCATGGTCGGCTGGAGTCCAGTAGCATTGTGCCTTCGATAGTTGATGACAATTTGTGGGATAAGCTAGACCACGCTTTTAGCTGAGTTCCCCGACGACAGTTGTGGGAGACTTGGGTACCTGAATGGACCAACACACCTGTTTTGGTCAGCACAATTACTTCCGAGATTGAACAATACATACTGCTCCCAGCGTTCCTAGCACGTTCGCGGCCACCGGTACATCCATGATCAGACAATGATAGCCGGGATGTGAAGGATGCGTCTGTGATGTTCAGATGTGAATCGTATGCACGCTTCACTGCACGTCCACGACATCCCTCTTATCTACGCGCCAAGAGCAATTGCACAGCAACAACATGTCTACAATCGCGCTACAAAGTCACGAATGCACGAAATTTACGAACTCCGATGCCGACACATAACCCGCAGATGCACCGCCGTCAATGGCGAAAGCGCGATGACGCACGACATGGTTGACCCTGGAACGCGTGCATACCGCCGAGGTCCGATCATTGAAGAGCTTAGAAATCACCAGTTGAATGCCGCGACATATCGCAACCACCACTGAGCTTCCAGGCAATCAAAGATGGCACAGGAATCGAATGAGAAGGATGAAGGTCAGGATATCGCAGGAAGGCCTGGGTACAAGAAGCTGGCGAATGGCATTATACTCGGTCCAGATGGCAAGCCGTAAGTACCGTCGAATCTCGTACGCGCCGGAAGACATACGCGCAGAATAACTGCCTTCTTTGCAAAGGAAACAGTTACTGACATCTTGACTTCCAACTGCAGATGCCGAGCCTGCAACGATCTAACCTCCCTCATGGCCATGTCAGGCAAAATGTCCAAAAAGCGCACACCCGCAGCCGCGCCTACCACGACCACGCCCTCCCTCCCCGCCGACTGCCCACCCGACGTCGAAGCCCTCGGCCGTTCCTCATGGACCCTCCTCCACTCCATAACCGGCGCATACCCCACAAACCCCTCTCCCCAACTCCAATCCGAAACCAAATCCTTCCTCACCACATTCGGCAAATTATACCCATGCTGGGTGTGCGCCGAAGACTTCCAGAAATGGATGCAGAAGAACACACCGAGAGTCAGCTCGAGGAGCGAATTTGGAGAGTGGATGTGCGAGGCGCATAATGCTGTGAATGAGAAGTTGGGGAAGGAGCAGTTTGATTGTAAGAAGTGGGAGGAGAGGTGGAGGACGGGGTGGAAGGATGGGAGGTGTGATTTCTAGGTCTCAGGGAATTAGAATTGAGGGGTGTTATGTGGTGTATGATTATGTGTATATGAAGAGAATGGATGGGCGGTTTGTTGCATAGCGAAGGACACCACTCTGTACGAATATGAACTAGATACCGGCATTGGGCGGCGTTGAGAGACATAACATCTCATCCAATACAAACACAATTTAAAGACTGGAACAACCGACACGACATTTCTCTGCGATCCCACTTCGTGGCCTCCAACGCGACATCTGCTGCCCCTCATTTCGAATACTGGTCCGCTACTAACCCATCCTCAGGTCTCGACCGCACCAAGCGTACTTAGATAACACGACTCTGGTACAAGATCAAACTATGAAGTCACAACGTGTAATACAGCACAGCACACGCGACCATTCGCATCTCATACACATCACCACTTCCGTCGAATTCCCGTACACATCTCCACCAATGCCTCCACCAGCCCTCCTCCCCCATGATTTCTCCCCCCCAACCCCAACATGTCCGTTGCCGCCGCCATGGTCGGTACAATATCAAGTAAACACAAATCCGACTCCACATCTTCTCCAGACAACACATCCGCACACATCGACCGTAACTCCGCGATCGCTCTATCCATAATCCTCTTCCTCATTTTCGTGGCTATAGCATGGTACCTCCGCTTGCACTTCGCACAAAAGCGACAAGCCGATCTAGAGCGCCAGTCACAAATGCAGCTGAGTGGTGGAAACTTCGAGGTCAACTCAGTGACGGGAAGGGTGACGCGGAACAGGCAGTGTAGTTCATGTGGACATGGTAGTCAAGATACGAGGAGGAGTAGGGCGGCGAGTTTGTTGAAGCTGAAATCCGTGGTTGTGAGGAAAGACTCTGTTGCTACTTCTTCATCTTCATCAACCGTTGCCCCGACAGCAGCCTCCTCATACAACAGCGGAGGCATTGAGAGGAGGAAATGGCCCGGACTATCCCAATGGCGGACACAAGACTCGTGGTCTACAACACTAGGCCCCAACGCCCTCGCGATACACGAGAACACTCTGCCGTTGACGTCGACGGAGCGTACTTCACGCACACACTCCCGGCGGCAGTCTCTCAATAGAGGGTCTTTCGATCCTCTTCCATTGCATAACCCTATCTACCCTATTCCAGCCCGTCGACACAGTTCCTCGCTCTCACACGATGCGTATGATAAGCGGTGGTGGAACGAGGTTGCCCGGCGGGGCTCAACGACGAGTCTGATGCAGCGGTCGTCTGTGTTGGATGCTGTTTCGGAGCCGGAGGGTAGGGGTTGTGCAGACGGATCTCGGGGGGTTGGTAGGGTTAGTACGGTGAGTGCGCATGCGTCTTGGAAAGGGAGTAGATGTGAGTCGGTTATTTATGACTGGACGAGGCCTGCGAATGCTGAGGTGCAAGAGAGGAGTGAGATGAACTTCAAAGGTGTGATTTGGGACGGACAGCAGCGTAGTAGGCGAGGTAGCAAAGAGGAAGAAAAGATCCAAAGCATGGATTGGGCGTTGAAAATGTAGCATACTCTCTTAAGCAAAGCACTCACATCCGTGAACACATGCAAGGTCAACATCAAGATTGCAAAGAAGCAATTCATTTCTGCCTTTTCCTATCTTAAGGTACTGTGGTTATAGGAGATTCTTTCTTTCTTGAGAATGCGCGAATTCGATGCGCAATCTCCTCGTATGCCTTCCTACCGTCATTTGGCTAACATTATGTCTTTCTGCTGCGAATCCAAATTACAGGATGATTGTAGACCCTTCCTCGAATATGGTAGTGAGCTAGCTGTGGACAAGTTGCGGAAATCGACTCGATCGTGGTATCTTGTGTATATCTCGCGGTTGAGGGAAACGTAGAGAGGTTTATCGCATAATCTCCTGGTAGATGAGGACTGTAAGATGTTAGCAGAGATTCAGGACACATGTAGGATCTTCGACTCACGTTTCAGCTGCTCCTTGGTCAGATTGTCCTTGTTCTTGTCAAAGTCGAAGAACTCCTCGGGAATTGGGTCGGCGGTCGGCTCGTCATCTGGGTCGTGGTACGGCTCAAGGTAGGGGTGCTTGAGCGCATCCTCGACTGTGATACGTTTGACGGGGTTGAAAGCGAGTAACCGCTCGAGCAGGTCAAGCGCCAGGTCGTTGGTCTTGGGGAACATGGCCTTCCATGGGATCTTCTTCTTGAACGGCAACGATCGGATGTATTCACGAGCTCGGCGGGACTTGATGCCGTAGTAGTCTTCCATGGTGGGTGTGCCGAGCACATCGAGGATCAACGTAAGCTGGTGGTGGTCTGGCATATGTTAGTGACAGCTCCGGTGTAGACTACTGTCGCGACACTTACAGTCCTTTCCGGGAAACAGAGGCTTTCCGCTAAGCATCTCTGCTAGAATGCATCCTACACTCCATACATCGATGGCCTTTGTGTACTCCTTGAAGGTAAGCATGATCTCGGGCGCACGGTACCAACGCGTTGCAACGTATTCCGTCATGAAACCCGAGTTGTCTTCAGTCGAGGCGGCTGATCGAGCCAGACCGAAATCGCAGACCTTGAGATCGCAGTTGGCGTTAAGGAGCAAGTTGGAGGGCTTGAGATCGCGATGGAGCACGTTTGCGGAGTGCATGGCCTTCAGCGCGCGTAGGGTCTGGTAGATGAAGTACTGGCAATGGTCGTCCGAAAGCTCCTGTGTGCGAATGACGCGGTGCATGTCGGTCTCCATGAGTTCCTGGGGTACGGGGTTAGCAACCGCGGACATGATTGAATCTTGGAGCTACACACCTGAATCAGGTACACTTCGGTGAAGGTCTCGTAGTTCCGAGGCTTCTGGATGTCGAGAATGGAGATGATGTTCTCGTGGTTGAAGTATCGGAGTAGCTTCATCTCTCGTAGTGTTCTCAGACAGAACATGGAGTGGTCAAAGGGCGTAATCTTCTTGATGGCGACCTTCTGGCCTGACGGCTTGTGTAACGCGGAGCTGTCGCGTGGTTAGCAGCTGTCTGGCTGGCACTGACAATGAGACCTACCAAACAACACCGTATGCGCCCTCTCCGACGACATCTTGGATATCGTACTGCTCTGAGACATTGAAAGATATCTTTCTAGAGCTACCGCTCCCCGCTGGAGGCATGTTGGCGGTTGTGGTGGTTGGTATGCGCTGATGCGCAGTGAATTGGGTCAATTGAGCTGGTGCTCAGTGATTGCGGGGTCGCGATTGCTGGATAGTCGACAGGTGAAGAGCTGAGGAAGCGGAATGAGGCTGCGTCTGCGGTTGTTCAAGTAGAATCTACAAATGCGCTGGTCAGCCCGGGTTCTAGAGAGCTATATGGCAAGCATTGTTCGCAGAACAGCAAGCGTGTCTTGCGCGCGTTGGTGAAACGGCACTGTGTCAGACACTGAGCCAGCCCCACGTGCTGCCCTTTGAGCCGCAAAAGGTGTTCATGGCGGCAACGCGCACGTCAGAATACAAAGAACAACATGTGCTATTCGCCCCCGACTATGCATCCGTCCATATCGTTTGACTTACCACAGAACTGTGATTGTTGGAGTCGAGACCTGTGCAGTTCTCGGTTCAACGAGGCGTGTACCTGGTCGTGCCTGATGGAGGCGCTCGTCTTTAGCCGTTTAATGACGCTGGCTACCGAGAGATGTCGTCGACCAACCGATTGGAGCTGGAGCGGCTGCGCTTCGGAGCTTCTCGAGGATGCTGGGGTGATGCCCGCGCAAGGTGGAGAGGGAGTGAGGCGGTGACAGAAAGGAGACGGATAAGGTGGGGGCAGGGTCTGTCGAATTGCCAAGTCAGTCCCAGATGCGCGATCTCAACGTGGGAGCGGGAGGGAGCGTGGCGACGTACCGTAGCCCGTGGCTTCTTCCGTCGGCGTTGTGAAGGATGTGTCTTCTCGGAAGAGGATGTTGTGGAGAGCACAGGGAAGGCGCGATGGCGTGTGTTTGTTGCTGCGGTGGGCGCGCTTTCCAAGTGGGATGGATGGCGGGGTCAAACAGCTCAGCGCCGAATGCTCTCAGGTACGCTCTATTGCGACAATACACGACAATACGAGGCGGCAAGGACAAATGCGTGTGAGATTTACAACTTGACAATAACAGCAGCATGCACCGGTTATGGACTGCAAATATACCTCTCCCCAGGTGGCAGCCTCCGTTTGGTGTCCGCGACGGCCGCCGCCATTCATGGATACTTTGGGCTAACCGCCGACGTGATCCAGCCATTGTGTGAGCTGCGCGAGTCACATCCTGTGATTTCTGCGATATGCACGAGAGCCATCTCAAACATTCGAGAATCGTTTCGCTAGCAGGATCTACCGTTACTCCATGGCCGCGTGCAGGAGATCCCAACGGGGTCCTGGGAAGTTGCTTTTTCTGCTTTCCCCGCATCTGCCCAATGCCAGTTCTCAGTCGCTGCCTTTTCCATCACCACATGCGCCTCGTGCAGCAGGGTGGCTGCCTGTCATCCTCCCCGTCACTGAAGCTCAAGGCTCGGATGCTGTAGGGCCATGGCTGAAACTGGCTAGTTGCAGGGGCCTAGTTCCACATCTGCAACGGCTATACTTAGCAGACCCATTATGAGACCAGCCTCACCAAGCGGGTGCGCCCTCTCCGAACCCATTGGTTCGCGCGCGTTCCCTCCAACTCGACCACGACCAACCGTCCTATTCTTACCTTTCCAATGGTCCGGCTCAAGACTTTTGACTGTCTTATCATTGCGCTGTACGCGCCACGCATCTGCGCCGGCATTCTCTTGGGGTCCGATTGGAACGGGGATGCCTCACTGGCCCGGCACCCGTCGACATCATAGCTGTTTGACTTCGAAGCATCTGAGACTTCCAGAAGCTGTTTCAGATGGCCGCCGAGCCTTACCAACAGGATTGAGCCCTCAACTTACCCGCTTCAGGGTCCTAAATGACAGCTTCTGTCATCATCACGGTCCAGATGTTTCCACTGTCCACTGTGGTCACCGTGCTACATCCACAGCTTGTGGTGGCATGTCGTAGCTCCCAACACCATGCTTCTGGAACGGGCGACGGACAAAGATGCCAGGTCCCGTCAGGCCGCGATGAGGGCCTCGTCGTGCAAGGCGCAGCTTGTATCCCCGTCATTGACAAACGTGCTGGTGATCATTCGAACGGTTGTGCTGGCACGTGGAACAAGCACAAGGCCCAGACAAGGCGATCTACACAGCACCACAGCATGATGACAAGTGGCGACAGAGCAGTCATGAAAAGGTAAACCTGGGTATGTATTGCGCATCGCTAACGCTATCAGAAGTTGTATCCATGCATCATCCGTATCGTAAATCATCACACCATCACACCATCACACCATTACTCCATATGTTCCCGAACACCGTAAAAAGCAGCCCTTCATCCCGTATCATTCCACCGCTATGTCTTCGAGCCCCTCAACCAAGGCGGTAGTCATGCTGAAGACAGTGTGCCCATGGGAGGATATTGTGTCCCTTGTTGTTCGACTCGGGGTGAGCATGTGCACCATTGCTCTTTGGGGGTGCTGTCCATGACACGGGCGACGTGTTTACCACAGCCCCACCATGTGGTCTTGTCTGAGGTGATATTAGTCGTGCTCGTATAACAGGTATGTCGTAGATGACATACTGCAGGAGTCGCAGGAAGCCTTCTTGCACATTGTGAACGGTTGGTTGTAAATATCGAGTATATGTAGCGATGCCGACGGTGTGCCGATGAAGGTATGCCGAACGCAGAGGAAGTATGCCGAAACCTTTTCGTAGAGTCCGGTAGCGTATAACGTGGTATAACTGTAGTTTCAAAAGCGTGTCTTGGTTGACTGAAATCTGGAATGAACCCACCCGGTCATCAAGCAGCAGAGCTTATATACCTACCTGCCTATCTTCTCAATCCCACATCGTCTCCACTTGCCCGCAAACCTCCTCGCCGAATCCCCTTACACACGGCGAACACACTACCTCACCGCGGTGAAGCGTGATTAACTCCCCTCGGGCTCTAGTTCACCAATCCCACCCAGAAGACTGGGCCTCTGTAGCTCACTCCGGGGATCTGATTGGCCGCCTAGCTATTTGTCCGAACTATAGTCGGCGACCACATTCGGCGAAGTACCACTCGTCGACTTTGACGCTTTTTTTTTCGCCTGCGCACGCGGGTCTAGTCTGCGGGTGCGGCGTATGTTAGAACCTATAGTACGGGTCCGTTGCCGAGCCATGTACATGGTGAGGATTTTTGGGTCGGTGTATGGATTTAGGTCTCCCGTGGAGTGGCATGTGGAGGGTCAGTGTGGGCTTTCGGCGGGAATGGAAGCGTAGTGCATTGGGTAGGCGTGTTGCTACACTGCTATGGCGGTCGGTTGGCGCATGTGGATACATGCGTATTTGAGATTCACGATGGTAGCTAAGAACAAGTGCACGGTATGATGATGTGGCTGAAGCCGCCTTCTCGTGTGCACCTGAAGACATGCAGGCTCGGAAATCGTACGATTGTTCAGACGGCACGGTAGAGTCAGAAGCCACAAGACAGGGGATTCGCTTCTCATGCACAAGATGAAACCGTTCCCCACGAAGAGTGAGGTATTGTGCAAGCTAATCAGATCTCTACTAATCAAAATCGCGATCTACAACAATGTACACTACCGGAACTTTTGCTTTGCATGATCCGAAACGCCTCCGCTAGACAAATGGTTCTAGGTTTAAAAGTCGATCTTCGCGCTGCAGCTGTAGCCTACGGCATCTACTTCGCCGACCAGCTTTGTTACGGGATGCCGAAGTCCGCTTTTGACAACACACATTAGACCCATACGACCTAATCAAAAGTAATCTTAGTAGCGGCCTTGGAGTCCCCGGTGTCTTTGTAGAAGGCGCCGTATGCACCGTGCTCCTTCTTTTTGACAGTTGTACCGAACTTCATCAACTCTTCGGGTACGGGCTGGTTCGCTGCCTTGAGAACATTGATCAACCTAATAATAGCGTTAGTGGGTTGAGATAGTGCAGACAAACGCAAGGAGTACTCACGATCCGGAGAGTGCTTTGTCGTGTTCCGTGAAAAGCGTGATCGCCAAACCCTCCTTTCCGGCACGACCCGTCCTACCAATTCTGTGAACGTAGTCCTCCGCTGTCAAAGGGAACGTGACATTGATGACGAGTTTCACCGCGGGGATGTCGAGACCTCGTGCAGCAACATCCGTCGCCACGAGGAGGGGCACATGTCCTTCTTTGAACGCCGCCAGTGAGGCGCTGCGCCTTTCTTGGCTCAGGTCGCCGTGGATTCCACCCACGCGGAAGCCCTGCCTGCGGATGAAGTCCTCGATGCGCATTGCTTCCTTCTTGTACAGGCAGAAGACGAGGATACGATCGTCCTTGTTCTTGCCAGATTGGTACTGTCTAAGTAACTGCAGCAGACGCTGCTCTTTGCCACGGGGATCGACAACCTCGACGAGCTGCTTGATGCGCACATTAGCGCGGAGCTCGCCAGACTGGTTGTCGCCGATTGTGATTCTGACCGGCGAGTTCATGAAGGTGGACGCAAGATCCCGAACAGAAGGCGGCCACGTAGCAGTAAACATAAGGGTCTGGCGCTTCTTGGGCGTCTGCGAGATGATTTGCCGAATTGCTTCTTCGAAACCCTTATCAAGCATGCGGTCGGCTTCGTCAAGTACTACGTACTCGGCTTTGCTGAGATCTGCTGAGCCATCGCCAATTAGGTCATTCAAACGACCGGGCGTAGCGACCACGATGTGCGCCTTCTTGCAAGCGGCAACCTGAGGGTCTTTTGGCACACCACCGTACACGCAGACTACAGATAGTCCAGCTGGTGTCGCCAACGCTACCAACTGATCGTAGATCTGAACAGCCAGCTCACGCGTAGGTGAGACAATGACAGCCTTGACACCCTTCCGTTCGTTCTTGGGTAACGCAGCGATGTAGCGCACACAGGGCACACCAAACGCGAGTGTCTTGCCGGAACCCGTCTCCGCAACACCGACCATATCTCTGCCTGAGAGCAAGTATGGCCAGACTGCTGCTTGTATAGGTGTAGGAGCGCTGAACTTGGCGAAGAAGGCGCGTTGCGCATCGTCGACAGGGAGGTACTTGAAGTTCAGGATGGGACGGAGCTTGCGAGCGGCAGGTTTGGGGTCTTGGATAGCCATCGTGTTCTTGGCGAGGAAGGCATCGACCTCCGACTGGGGAAGCTGGGTCAGCTCTTTGCTCTCTACATAGTCTCCCGATTCGACGGTGGCTGCGCTCGTTGTGGTTTCGACCGGTGCAGGCTTGGAGGAGGGTACAGGCTCGGTAGCTTCGCCCTTGGCCAATGCCTTCAGGCGCTTCTTCTCTGCCTTTCGCGCAGCCTTTTCTGCCGCCTTGATGGCTTCCTCGTTCTCTTCCGCAGTCTGGCCATTGGGCTCGTCTGAATCGGCACCCGCGGCAACCTTCAGCGCTTTTTTCGCTTCTTTAGCCGCCTTCTTTGCTTTCTTCGCTGCCTTACGCTCGGCCTTTGACAGTTTCGATTCGTCTTCCGAGTCCTCTACAGCCTGCGCATCGCCATTCGTCTCGATCGCATCCGCTGCAGGTGTCTTGCTGAGCTTCTTGCTCTTGTCCTTCTTGCTCTTCTTCCTTGAAAGTTCGGGAACGGTGGTCGCGCCGTCTTCAGTGACGACGTCAGAGATCGGTCTTTTGCCCATCTTGTTGGTTGGCAATGCTTCGTGTGGAGAAGTTGAGAAGGATGGCGGAAAAATCACTTTTTCGTCGGCGGTCGGTACCAGCACTATCGATAAGTCCCACACTAGTCCTAAAACGCTCAACGCGATCCTGCGCCAGCAAATCTCGCGTGTTCGATGCTTCCCACGTCCCTGCGCGTTCGCGAAGTGGCATGTGAAAGTTTCAGTCTTTGTATGCCAAAATCGTCAATTCCAGACCTTTTGCGCTCTCTATGTCAAGGCTTCTCGGGTTTTCGCGCTAGTCGAAACCTTTTTACGATCTCCCTCACCACAGTGAGCCATGACCAGAACAACTAGACAACAGGGACCACTTATCTCGAGACTTGATGCGCGATCATGGCGGACGTGACAGTGCTGAGATGCTGGCCAGCCTGCGTCGATGCGATCGATTGGTCTCCCGACGGCATCATTGCACTAGCGTCGGATGAGCGCGTAGAGCTGCTTGTGAGTACCTTTCTGTGCATATACTCATACGAGACCTCTTCGTTAATGGCTGGATAGTTTCCGAACACTGTCGATTTCGAACGGGATCAAGTTCTGCCGCAATGGCAGCATGTACCTCTCAAGGTACCTTTGTTCTCAACCGATGAGCTCCCACTGAAAGAACCTGCGCCAACATCCAACTACTCCATCGGGGAAGAAATCTCTAACAGCGCTCCCATCAGCATCGCATGGTCACCGCCCGGGATTTCCAAACATCGAAAGTGCGCGCTTGCTGCTCTCACCGCAAATTTGACGCTGTCCCTCTGGTCAGCAGAGGGCAAGCCACAAGATGAGACAAGTTGGGGCCGCCGACTGATCATCAACGATGCCCTCGTTGACCACTTCGGAGACTGGGACGATGAACCTAGCCACGTAGTGGACGATTCCAAGGAACGACTGCGGTCGAGAGGCCGCATTCGAGCGTTCGCATGGGCACCCGCTCTGCCTTGCCCAGGACCGGATGGTGTTGTCGGTACCCACTTGGTATACGGCCCACACATGCTAGTTGTCTCTGATGACGATAATCACCTCGTGTTTCTCAAGGTTGAATCACCGACCTCCTCCTTAGGAGCTGAGCCAGACTGGAGGGCAGACGTGCTAACACATGAGTCTTTTGCATTGTCTTCGGAGACGATCTTCCCGCAACCTAATGTCTTCGAAGACATGATCCAACAACAAAGATACATATCGCATATTGCCTGGAGTCCTTGGATCATGCGCGAAGGATGTTATTATTCCGTACTGGTATACGCTACGAATGAGGATGTACGGGCGCAGACTATCACGTACAACACTGGGCGGATAGACTTGCAACAAGAAGTCGTCTATGCAGATTACGAAATGCGGTATGACGGCCCGATGAAATGGTTTCACCGAGTCGAAGATGGAGATAGATTAAAGCTTGCACTCTTCACAAATACGGGACTAGTATATCTAACGATATCCGCTCTTGACGCTTCTATTATCGAAAGGAGCACGCATGATCTGGACGGGCGATGGGATCCGGTTTCAGGCCTTGTTTGGGATACGACTGGCGCCACAACTCCTCGTCTCCATATCAGCTCTCTGCTATCGACCCTCCACAGTCCAACTGCTATCCTTGAGCAGACTCCTGATGGGCTCAAAAGCCTTGATGTCCCAGAATGGCGGGAGAGAATCGGAAACAACCTGGCACTGTTTAGTGTAAAGAATGGGCTCAAAGGCAATAGCAGGGCCAAGGTATGGGGTCTCACGAGATCTCCGCTAGGCGACTTCATTGCGGCATGCAACAGCGTACATCCTTCCGATATGATCGAGTACGGTATTCCGGCTGACCGTAGTGGCGCCGTGGCTATCAGCTCTCTGCGACCTGGCAGTCGTTCACGAGATATCTTTCCAAAAGAGAATGTGACCGCAGAAGGAATTATGTACAGTCTCAAGAAGTTGGCAGAAGAAGTTATCGAGGATACTGATGACATGCCTGCACTCGCGGATGAGATGGTTGGAAAGCTAGTCGAGGCTTACACAGCTCCTCTTGTCTGTGAGATGAGCGCGACCACATCAGTAGCATACTCTGATGTCAACGATCTCGACTCTTTGATTAAAGAATTCAAGTCGAATGCTTTCCTTGAATCACCTACACTGAAGGATCGCTACACCATCCTCGTGTCTGAAGCCTACAAGACACAAATCAATAAGGAGCTGCCAAAGACTCTGATTGCGTATCGTCTCGCAGTGACCTTGCAACAGCTCCCTTTATCGCTCTCGCACACTACTTTCAGCGCAGAAATTCGCGCGCATCACAAACAACTCGTCACATTGATCAACATGGTCATGCGCTATGGTGACACATCCGAGTCCTTGCCCGCAGACAAAAGTTCGGAGCACCAAAGCGCATCAAGAGTTGGAACCGCTACTAATGGAAGCAGCATCACAGCAAATCAAACTCCAGCAGTTCCAATAGCAGATACGTGCGATTTCTGCTCCGCATCTATACCGTTCGCAGACCCACGCTCAGCAACGTGCACCAACGGACATGTGTTTCCTAGGTGCGGACTCAGTTTTCTCGCTATCCAAGCACCCGGCATCACCAAGTACTGTGGTATATGCAGCACCCCATTCTTGAGCGACGAGTTCGTCACCGCCCAAGAATATACAGACAGCAACAAAAGCGTCGACGCTGGAGATAACACCGCCATGACAGCTGTGATAAGAGGCGATGAGGTATCGGAGGGAAGGGAGGAGAGCAGTGATCCGTTGAACGAGGTGGATGAAGAGGGTTTCAGCGACCAAGAAGGACGCGAGCAAGCAATGGTTGTGGATCAAGAAAGCGACGACTCCGACGATGAAGATGATCTGTACGAACAAAAGGAACTTCCCGTCACGCTGGCACGGGTACTATTCCTTGCATGCGACGTCTGCATATACTGCGGTGGCAAATTTATTGGTTGACCAAGACAGGTCCAGTTTCATAATCCGGCCCAAAGGCTTCATGTACTTATGTTCGTAGTAGCGAAGAAATTCCCTGCCAGACTCCCTCTTCTTTACACAAACGCGCTCTATCTATTAACATGGTCTGACCAGGTATGACATGACAGTCCAACTAAACATCTCAAGATGTTGGAACCCGGAAACGTTCAAGACGCTGATGTCTCTTATCGCGGGACGGAAAAGGGCACAAGGCCCGAATACGATCTGAACCCACGGTCGGGATCCCTTGGCACCCATCCGCACAAACTACGCACCTCCACTTTTCTCCCTCGGCAAGCCCTGGCAGTTTCTAGAAGCCAGGCTAGACCAACCGCACAAGTCTCTCAGTCCCCCGCGCAACCCGGCGACCAACCGCACAATGTACGCAAGATAAGTGGGAGCCAATAGCACAAAACGCGTGCACGCGGCTAAACTTTCCAACGGAGCTATCGACCACTGAGGCCAAAGCTTACAGTCAATCATGCTACAAACACAGTGGGATGCGGGGCAAAGCTCGTGGAGCACATGAATGGGAGCCGCCGCTGACGGGGTTTCCGCAGGGAAGAGGTGGCGTGAAAGGCCCTGCGTTTGGTCGTATTGCCGCACAAGTCGCGCAGGCTTCAGGTATATAAGAGGTTAGTTGCTGGCTCTCTGCTGCTTACTCCTACATCACAACAATCAAGTCAATCTTACAAGCCAACTCACATCCAATTACACAAACTCACTTTTCCACAAACCAATCACCCATCTTCAGCCATCAACATGAAGGGTAACTGCGGATGTGCTTCTGGTAGCTGCAACTGCGGCTCCACCTGCACTTGCGATGGCTGCCCCGTACGCTATACCACGTCCTTGTTTTGAACACGATTCTGACTGTTCTCCAGGGCAAATAAGCCATTCGATCGTCACATTGATGGCGTGCGATGAACACGAGACTGTGGGTGCCATTATGACACCTTCACGCGCGACATCCATGCTGACATTCTGCAGACGATCTTGCAAACTATGTTCCATATGGAGTCTACGAAGACAATTGTTACGGGTGGATTTTGAGAGGCGTGCGATGATTAGGGGATGAGGGGAGTTCGGCGGCTCAAGAGATACCACATAGGACAATCAATCACTTCATTACAATAACCCATGTTCATTATGATACTGCCTTTCTTGAACAATTTGTTATCATCGCTAAATCCTCAAGTATATCCAAGCCATGTAGTCTACCCTGACAGACCTCTACGTTCCATGCTACCCACAGCAAACTGTGGCGTTTTCCTGCATACGATCCTCGCCCCCGCTGCTTACGTTGAAGCTCTCCCACCCGAAGATGAAGTATCCCAAATACGCACCGATGAAGATGCAGATGATAAAGTACCCGTTGTAATACATCGCCAACAACATGACGAAATAAGCCACAGCAAATGCGGCCATGTGCAACGCCGCCCTAATCGCCTGTTGTAGAATGCTTGGTCGGAACTTGCTCGTCGTCGCAGCCATGGCGCCACAAGCAGCTGGTGATGTTGTAGCAGCAGGATGCTTAGTCGTGCTGTCGTTCGCGTTCGATGAGGAGGAGGAAAAGGAGCCGATCGCCGAGGAAGCAAGTGTCTTGGAGTGTTGCAGAACGATGTAGCGATCGTATTCTTTGGCCGCGCGCCGGAGAAATTCGAGGACGATGACGAGTAGGATTACTCCAATGCAGGAGCCGGCGAACATGGCTTTTGAGCGTACGTGCCAGGATTCTGCGATGAAGCATGTGTCGATTACATTCCAGTTCCACAGCATCTACGAGATGGATTGTTAGCTAAGGGTCTCTCTCTCCTGGTTGCGAGAACGCACAGGATAGAACTTACACTAATCTTACATCCGCCCATCATGCCGGCCATATCCATCTCGCCTGAGGAAGTAGCCATTGGCGCCATACCAGTAGCAGATGGTGCCATGGACATGCCCGACATGGCCATACCAGTGCTGGTCGGAGCCATCGACATATTCATATCCATAGACATGATTGCTTGTACCTGCATGGAAAGTAGTGAGAAAAGAGTCCAAAGTTATATCGCAGCGACTGCAATCAAAGCACGGCCTACCAGAGATTTCTTTGAAACAGCGGAGTGAATGAATATGAGTGGTAAGAGATACGGGTGGTGTGAGAGTAAGGTTGAGCAAGTTATGAGCAGATTTCCCCGGCGTGATCTTGAATGGAAGCGGCAACCACCTAAAAGATTCACACTCCAAACGCGGAAGATTTGACGAACAAAGAAGTCTGAAACTTGGGTGGGAACAGCCACAAGTGATATTTTCGGAGAACGAACGTGAAATCAAGGCGGTTATAATGTTCTCTCGTGGTGCAGGTTCCTGCTCATGGAATTAGTGGCACGGAAACCCTTCTCACGCCCGTTCCCACGCGGTACCTGGGGTCCTACAAACGGTCCCACCGCGTGCCAATCTTGCAGCATGACTACCAATCGCCATATCAATCTACCACGCCACCATATGATGCAGGAATAGACCCGCTCACCCATGTGTTGATGGTCGTTGAGACTCCAAGAGCAAGGACGGGCTGCAGGGCGCTATACCGAGATAGGTTTAGATGGTGAGCGAAGTGAGAAGGTTTCCAAGGTTTTGAGCAGATTTCGCGCCTTCATCCGCATCCTGCGTGATTACGACAAGACGATGCTGCGCGGCAGGCGTTGAAGTTCGGGACGATGTTGGATAACATGCAGGTCGTGGTTGTTTGTTGGTAAAGCGAAGGGGGAACGGGCCGCTTATGTCGCATGTGTTGGGACTGCAGCTTACAGGCAGAGCACTCTTTAGCCAACGTGCGATAAATTAATTTTCGTTGCAAGCGCAGTTGATTTCTGTGTGGTGGTGACCCGGCGGTTTGGTTGTGGGGCTCGAAAGACGAATGAAAACAGGGTTTAGGAAGGCTGCATGAACATGCGATGTTGGATGCAACGACAGATCGATCATTGATCGGAGCGTAGATATACGTGCGGTTGTATCAATACTCTAAGCTTCTCAACATTGCGAGATGCTTGTCTTCGGGAGATCGGTTGGAGGGCAACCATGAACTTGGGCCAATGGGCTTACGTGCGTTGCATCGCTTCGGAGTAGTTGGCTGGGTAAACATGCGTTGACGGTGTTGGTATGACAGTATATCAGCAGAAGACGTTTCCAGGTATACTCTTGCTGTTATCTGTTGATACCCCCCTGGTAATCTTCAGACGTATTGCATGTTTGTTGCATCATCCGCACAACATATATGCACAACCCGCTGCAATGTCGTATCAAAGCCTACAGTGACTCTCGATGGGGCCCAGATAGGTGGAAGCTTCGACAGCGCTTGGCCCATCACAGTGACGACATCCAATCCGTGTCCGGATATTCTATTCTGCCACTGTCGGCGTCCAAGAGGACTTGCCGGCCCTCATTGTGCATCATAGAGCACATTCATGTGCTGTGAATATGTATGAATAGAAAACAAAAGCCAGGCACATTGACGCATAAACATGAGGGCCCTACGATTGCGACTGAACCAAGCGAAGCAGAGAGACAAATGGCACGAGCTTCCGCCACCTATTATTCTCAGTGCACTCACCGACATGCACGTCCTGGCACCTGGGATGATCCGAATCGATGGAAGAGGCTGTGGCTACTGCAACCTTCTTTGCGCTAGGATATCTGGTAACAACGGCGTCTTCATGCGTAGATTGGGGCGGCCGCCATATCTATGCATACTACGCGACGCAGTATCAAGAGTTGGATGCACACGCAATGAAGATGACTCCACATGATACATCTAGCACATTTCAGCATGTGCATTCGCGATCACACGTACAAAAAACCCCGTGTCTACTGCCAGACTATAAGTCGGGTCATTCTGACGAGTCATAGTGTCGGGTCGATCTGTCGGGCCATTGTGTCGGACATTCTCCAACACCAACAATGACGCGCCCTTAGAACGATCCGCAACTGGCAGGCCCTGAGGCAAGAACAGCGGGGTATATGACGATGCGGATGTGGCGTGGGATGCGGCTCAGCATCTCTCTGGTGGTAACCTGACCGCAGCGGAGACGCAAATACTGCCTTTAAGCCAGGGCGGCTCCTCATGAGCAGTGCAGGAAGCAGGACTATGCCACGACCTGTCAAACGCAACGCAACGGCTCCCGGGACAAGGCTTTATACCTTGCAGTTCAGCGCTGCTCGTCATCGGCACATAGAACGCTCCGAACATTGGGCAATCTAGGTTTGACGTCGCCGTAAATATCCGTCTTGTCTGTTTTCTTGAGTTCCAAGAACGCTCCTCGTCGAGCGTTCATCACATCGTATTGTTTACTTCTCTTCTTTTGCCATGCGTTCCCCAATCAACTTCGTGAAGGATCGCCATAATGGCCGGTATCGTGAGAGCATCGATAGCGATGACTACCCTTTAGCACAACCCAGGAGGGAAATTGAGCAACCACCAATGAATGGTCCTACTGCTCTTCCATCGCTGCCAGACCCGTACTCGGCTTTCTCAGTGAATCGCAGAAGGTTCATCTTGGGTGTCGTTACAGCAGCAGGCTTCTTTGGACCACTATGCGGAGCGGTTTACTTACCGTCTCTGAAGATATTCGAAAAGATCTTCAAAGCATCAGAAACTGCGGTAAACGGTACAGTCTCAATGTACATGATGGTGTTCGCCATTGCCGTGAGTCAATCGTTCCGGTTGCTCGAACTGCAAAACTAACACTGCATAGCCTCTCTTCGGTGCTGCTGCCTCGGATCTAGGCGGAAGGAAAACAGTGTACATGGTCGGACTCGGCAGCTTCCTCTTCGCAAATACCTTGCTTGCTGTGCTGCCACCGCATATCGCGGAACTGTACATCCTTCGTGTCTTTCAGGCTTTCGGATCATGTATCGTCTTCTCTGTCGGAGCCGGTACCATTGCTGATATTACTGAGCCTGCCAAACGTGGCACTGCTTTAGCATGGTTTTTGATGGGACCTCAGCTTGGCCCTGTCCTTGGTCCACTTATTGGTGGTGCACTGGCGGACGAGAGTAGATGGCGATGGATATTCGGCTTCCTTTCAATCGCAAGTTTTCCGGTATATCTCCTCATCGTCTTCTGTACGCCAGAGACACTGCGGTCACTGGTGGGTAACGGCGCACCTGTCGCGAACCAGCCTTGGTTTTCGATGCCCAAATTCCGGACAAAGCCTTGTACAGACTCGAGAGCTCCGAAAGCTCCCCGTCCTACTCCTCGAAAGTTCCTGCATCTTCTTAAATACCCTCCACATTTGATCGTTTCCTTCAACGGAGCTTTCCAATTTGCTGGGCTTTATGCCATCTTCATCTCATTTGCCACAATTTGGCAGGAAGGCTACGGCTGGACGGCAGCAGAGACTGGATATGCCTATATATGTCCTGGCATTGCGATGTTCGTCGCTTCGATGGTCGTCGGTCGACTTTCCGATTGGATGCGAAAGAGGGCTCTTGCGAAGAGTTCTACTGGCAAAGTTGCACCTGAGCGAAGAATTACCATCCAGATTTTCGGCTTCGTCATCGCTGCGGCTGGAAAGATCATGTTCGGATGGTTCGCGCTCGCTCGCTTTCACCCTGCAGCGGTCCTCTTCTGTACGGCTCTGGCTGCAATCGGCATGTCTATCATCTTTGTCACCAGCACATCCTTCCAGACCGAATGCGATCCAGGACAGGCAGCTAGTCTCGTGGCTTTGGCAGGATTCATGCGCAACATGGCTGCCGCGATCTCCTCGCTGATCATGGCCAGTATTCTTGATGCAATGGGTTGGGGTTGGGCGTTCACCGGTCTGGGAATCATAGATCTCCTCTGCATACCAGGAATCATACTAATCATTTTCCGTGGTCCGAAGTTTCGACAGGAGTTGGAACGCGGACAAGAGCCAAGGAAATAGGTGACTGGGTGGCAGACCTTGCGTGGGCCAGACACAAACTGTTGCTGTTTGTCTTGACAGCTATGAGCGACGACTTGTCTTTAAGCATAGCGCGGCGTTAGTGGAGATTTTAGTTTGTATATTGATATGATACCAAAGGACACGGAATTGGATCTCATGTCGAGCCAAATGGCAGGGACTACTGCGTTCATTCTGTAACCATATGAGCTACGAGACGACAATAATCAATCCAGAAGATTTTGATGAGCATTCTGACGACGAACGACTAGTGAGTAGCTGTGGCGGTGTCGATGCGCTGTCAAAATGCGCACGCAGTCGAATGTAGATGTGATGGAAGAGATCGCGGTGTTCTAGAATAACCTCGGAAGCGGCTGGAAGGGCGAGTTTGGCCGATCATCGCGACATCCACCTCCACCATCCCATTTGTCAGCAGCACTCGCCATCCATGTATGTATAAAGAGCAAGCAGCCTGGCAGCGATGACATCACTTCAGCAGCGAAATCGATCTCGCACAACTTCATCGTGGCGTTTAGAGCAAGTTTACGCAAGATGACCAACTTCAAGGTGGACATCGTCAGCGACACCGTATGCCGTAAGTTTTTCGAAACAACACATAACATACTATGTATTCGGTACTGACCAAGTGATAGCATGGTGCTACGTGGGAAAGAAGCGTTTGGAAAAGGGTATCGCGGCCTACAAGGAGAAGCACCCGGACTCCAATGACACTTTTTCAACCAGCTGGTACCCCTTCTACCTCAATCCTGATGCGCCAAAGAGTGCCGACAAGCAACAACTGTACGAGTCGAAATTTGGCAAAGAGCGCACAGCAATGATGCAAGAGCGACTCTCGCAGATTGGCAAAGACGAGGGCATCAACTTCAAGTACGGCGGCAAGACTGGAAACACACGCGATTCACACCGACTTGTGCAACTTGGAAAGACCAAGGGCCCGCAGATGCAGACTCGCGTAATCGAAGAGCTCTTCGCCGCGTATTTCGAGAATGAGAAGGACATTACGACCCAGGAGATCCTTACCGAGGCTGGAGTCAAGGCCGGGCTTGATGAGAAAGAGATTAAGGATTGGTTGGAGACAGGCAAAGGAGGACCTGAAGTTGACAAGGAAGTGCAGCAGGCGCGCCGACAACAGATTACAGGCGTTCCCAACTTTACCATTAACGATCAGTTTGAGATTGGAGGTGCGCAGGAACCTGAGGCTTTTGTTCAGTTGTTTGAGCGGTTGAAGAGGCAAGAGGGTAACCTATAGGTGGTTTGATGTACAATACCCATCCGCGAATGTAAACTTCTACGTTTTCTCCAGAATACAGCATGAACTGTGACGATATGAATAAGAGGGAAGTTGGTGTATCGGATTATCAATGTGTAAGCAGCCTGGGATGAAGGAAATGCGAGTTCTGGTGTCGCGGTCCGTCGTATCGCTCCGATGACGAACTCGTGGACACATGCCGCTAGTCTTCACCTCGGCAACTGCACCTCAGCATTGTCACGCGTATTCTCCATTACACTCTTACGACACCTCGACAGCGGTGGTCGCGAGTACTAACGCTACCAGCCTCATTCCTCATGGTGCGCGGGTAGTACAGTATGTAAGCACCGATCGAAGTGCTACGTGGGTGGCTGTGGCGGTTAGCGCCAGTGCCATCGATCTGGGCATCTGCAGGGTTCACGACCAACAATCACCAAGACGCGCTTGGACGGCGCATCTCTCACAGCTACTTCATTCGCCATGTCCTAGACTCCGATTAGAGTATACGGTCTACGACCTCTCCGATGGCTAACGATGCTCCGCAAACCCCGGCTGAGCGCCGCTTCCTGCGGCCCAGCGTAAGTCGCGTCTCTATACACTCTACAAACAATGCGCTGACCACAACCTATAGCTACGCAGCGCGACCATGGTCCAGCCCAAGACTGGCGAACGCATCAAGAAATCCTTCACTCTACGAAGATCCCAACACCGCCCGACCGAATCGTCCGAGTTCCTACTTGCGCCAGGCCAATACGATGCTGAGAGACACCGGGAGATGGGAAGAGTCGAGCTTGCGAAGGTGACGCTTACGAACAAATGTCGACAAGGCTACGCATATGCGACGAGTCCTACTGGGATTGGCATCATGAAGTGCTCATTGGCCTATGTCCTCGGATCGTTGGCGACGTTCGTACCAGCAATCGCAGGATTATTGGGCAAGAATGATGGAAAACACATAGTCGCGACTATCACTGTGTACTTTCACCCAGCTCGCTCAGCCGGTAGCATGCTAGAGGCTGTCATTTTGGCTTTCGCCGCCTTTCTATACGCCGCCTTCGTATCCTTCTCCAGCATGGCCGTGTCCGCTTACTTTGGGAACCATGATCTGCTAGTTCTTGGGCATGTGATCGTGCTCATTGTATTCTGTGGAGGAGGTTTAGGGCTTGTTGGATGGACAAAGCAGAAGCTCGGCAACCCACTGGTCAACGTGGCTTGCTCGCTGACATCGCTCGCTCTAATCACAATCCTGACCAAGGAGGGAGCTGTGCAGGCAGCCAAGTTCTCTTACGTCAAAGTCTGGCAGGTTCTGAAGATGATCATCATGGGCTGTTCCGCCTCAGCACTCGTATCACTTCTCGTACAACCAAAGTCGGCGCGCAACGAATTCCGCGATACCTTTATTCAGTCTACCGATGCCATGGCCGAGATGCTGAACAATATCACCATGAGCTTCCTTTCCGGTGCCGAATCAGACCTCAAGAGCGAATCATATGTTGAAGCATCCAATAAGAGCCAGTCAACCTTCAAAACTCTCGTAAAGAACTTGGGAGAAGCGAAGTTTGAGCATTACGCGCTGGGTACTGAGGAAGAGTACAGAATTCACGCAAAACTAGTCAAATGTCTGGAAAAACTCATGCAGAGCTGTGGTGGACTGAGGAGCGCTGCCGAAACCCAATTTACACTGTTGGCGCAATCGGAGACCGAGCCCAGCGCCAGCGGAACGTCGCAACAATCAATACCCGCTAATGGAACGGTAACGTCGTCGATATTTTCGGACCATACGATGTCCTTCAGCCCTCCGCAAATGTCTCCCAGTCTCAGCCATACTGAGAGGCGAACCAGCATCCTTGCATCTATCGACGAGCTGCCGGAAAGTTCCCAAGCATCTGCATATCCCTCAGCAGCTGGATCCGACGACGAGTCCACTCCGAACAAGAAGAAATCTACCCAAGTCGCGAACCTTTTGCAGTCAAACCTCACGCCTGCTGACATGTTCTCGGTGTTCATTGCTAGCTTGGGACCACCAATGGTATGTTTGGAAGTCGTAGTCTGCCCATTGTGCTAACACCAGTAGAAATCTCTGGCGTATACGCTACGCGAAGTTCTTTCTGAACTGCCTTTTGGACCCGGGCCCGAGTACAATATGGCCATCAACGAGCACTTTCGCCACAGTCTAGTCGATGCCAAGGCCCTCTTCTCAGACGCACGTCGGGAAGCCCTCTCTGCTGTCTACAAGAACAAGATACCAACGAGGACCAGCTCTGCAGCGATTGCAGCAGACTTTGAGGAGGTTGCCGCAAGCTGTGGGTACTTTAGTTCGTCGCTGTTAGACTTCGCTGAAGACATGGTTTCGTTCCTTGATATCCTTGAAGAGTTGAAAGCTAATGTCAATCGCTACCCGCGGCAAAAAACCTACAACTGGTTGAAATTCTGGCAGCGTGGGCGCAAGAAGGACAAGGCGGGAGACAGTCCTGAGGAGGCCTATCTTGTTGATGAGACAGACGCCCACACACCAGGAGGATCGCGTGAGATCCATAACCCCATCTACCGGAAGTCGACCCGTGGAGACCCATATAAGCCGGAGAACGAGCAGCCACTTTCATACCGCGTCTGGACATCATTGGCTGTCTTTAGAAGAGACGACCTCAAATACGCCGTCAAGGTTGGCATTGGCGCTGTCCTCTACGCCATGTGGTCCTTTATCCAGTCGACTCGAGGATTCTACGGTCACTGGCGTGGCGAGTGGGGCTTGTTATCGTACATGTTAGTGTGCTCGATGACCATCGGCGCCTCCAATACTACCGGTTTCCAACGTTTTGCTGGTACATGTCTCGGAGCTATACTGGCAATCGCCGCATGGATCGCTGCTGACGAGCACGCCTTTGTCTTGGGTTTCTTGGGCTGGGTGATCTCTCTGTTTTGCTTTTACATCATCGTTGGAAAAGGCAAAGGACCTATGGGTCGCTTCATCCTACTGACCTATAATCTCTCTGCACTTTACGCATACTCGCTCTCTGTCAAGGACGATGATGATGACGACGATGAGGGTGGTATCTCGCCCGAGATCTGGGAGATTGTACTGCATCGTGTGGTCGCGGTTATGGTTGGATGCATATGGGGCATCATAGTGACGAGAGTCATCTGGCCCATCTCAGCGCGCCGTAAGGTCAAGAAAGGCACGTCTCTACTATGGCTTAAGATGGGCTTGATTTGGAAACGTGGACCTCTGAAGACCCTACTCGAAGCCAACGAACGCACAAGCCGGACGTACACTTACATGTCCGAACGGGAAGAGCTGGAACTCCGCCGGTACCTTTCTCATCTGGACACGCTGCGAGCATCAGCCGCCGCAGAGTTCGAGCTCAAGGGCCCGTTCCCAGACAAGAGCTTCAAAGTCATTCTAGGCGCAACTAGTCGTATCTTGGATAGTTTCCATGCTATGAACGTCGTCATACTCAAAGATGTCAAGGCCTCCGAGGGCGAGAAGGAGGTCTTGAGGTATACCAAGAAAGAGTGGACAGACCTGAGTTGGCGCATCAGTCATCTCTTCTCTGGTGAGTCATACCTAACAAGCTTCGTCAAGTACACCTGCTAATCATACACAGTCATGGCATCCTCAATGAAGTTAGCATACCCGCTCAATGACGTCTTGCCTAATATCGAACACACGCGGGATCGACTACTAGCGAAGGTCTTTGAGTTCCGACAGAGCGGACTGGGGAAGGTCATCGCCAATGATGAAGATTACGAGTTGCTGTACGCGTACGCATTGGTGACTGGGCAGCTTGCGCATGATCTCAATATCATCGGCCAGGAGATTGAGAAGCTGTACGGTGTCTTGAGTGAGGAGGACCTGAAGTTACAGTAGATACACCATGCACGGAATCGCTGTTTCTCGCGATATATTTACCTTGTTTGTTTGAAGCAGGACACGCTTCTGGGCTTGTGATGTGTCTATTGATTGCCACTGCCTAGTGTCCGCGGTAATAACGCAGACGCATGAGTTAGCTTGTGATGATCCTAAATGAGTCACCATGATAGTTGCATCACACCTCGCAGCATAGTGGCCTAGGCATCGATAATTCTGTGCGTCATCCATCGTCGATGCCAATACCGCTTCATGCGCGTTGTCGGGTGACGTGCTCCCCAAGCTCACCAGAACTTGTCCGATAATGAGCTGCGACTCCATCGGTCTACTGATAGAAATAAGCTTTGGAGCCATCTGTCGTTGACTCACGGGTAATTGTGCCTAATGTACGCATCTAGCGATCGCGAAACGTTGCCACACAGCTGATCTTGGTACTGTAAAATTCCGGCGTTGAACTTCCCAGACATGAGAGCGATGGTCCTGTTCTGTAATTAGACAGAAATTCTACACGCGCTACTTTGTAGCTTTCATAACGCATTAACGGTAACCTTCGTTTTGAATGGTGCATTGAGGTTGTTGGTGTCTGGGGTCAGGATCGTAAAACGACTAGTGGCCGACACGTGATGAGCTTGGCGCTCTAAGCGATCACGCGCACCTGCCCAGGTCGGATCCTCAATATTCTGCGAACGTCTTGCCGCGACTCTCGATACTAACCTCCAGGACAACCAACCCGTCAAAATGTAAGGAAAACCGATTGCATACCCTCAGCATTGCTCCCAAGAGCACTTACGCATCTACAACCACGTCGCCGACTCGCAGTGGTGCTCAGCAGGCGCTCACGACGTGGCGAACCCCTCTTTTCACGATAGCACTTTCCATCGCCTACGACCGTACAATTGATCAAAATGCTGACGGAGCGTGTTTCACAGGGTCAACCTCCGCACTCAGAAGCGCCTCGCGGCCTCCGTGGTCGGTTGCGGAAAGCGCAAGATCTGGCTCGACCCCAACGAGACCAGCGAAATCGCCAACGCCAACTCCCGCCAGACCGTCCGCAAGCTCGTCCAGGATGGCCTCATCATCCGCAAGCCCGTCACCATGCACTCGCGTGCCCGCGCCCGGGAGCTGACCGCCGCTCGACGAATTGGCCGACACCGTGGTTTCGGTAAGAGGAAGGGTACCAAGGACGCTCGTATGCCAAGGTACGCAATCACGATGCCGCTTCTGCAATGGACTCAAGGGAGATTCATTGTGGGAAGTGAGGGATGAAGGAGACTGTTTGCTGATGCGGATGCCTATAGCCAAATCGTCTGGATGCGCCGTCTCCGTGTCCTCCGCCGTCTCCTCGTCAAGTACCGTGCCGCCGGAAAGATCGACAAGCACCTCTACCACGAGCTCTACCTCCTGTCCAAGGGTAACACCTTCAAGCACAAGCGTGCTCTCGTTGAACACGTACGTCCGCCATGACATCATGACTATGTCAAACCCCGCTCCATGCTCGGCTACTGACCTGCATCGTAGATCCACAAGGCCAAGGCTGAGAAGGCCCGCGAGAGGGCTATCCAGGAAGAGATGGACGCCAAGCGTGCGAAGACCAAGGCGGCGAGGGAGAGGAGGCAGGAGCGTGTCCAGCAGAAGCGTCAAGCTCAGTTTGGCGACGATGCGGAGTAAACACGGGATATCATGATGAACACCTGGCGTGGGTCTTTTCAAGGTTAAAGGAGGGCGTCAATCTCCTTTTTATCTGGGCATATGCGGTCATGTTTCATGTTACGTCTGTGAAGGACTCTTCTCTCCATGCATACTCGACCGACAAGGCTGCCCTCACTCTGATCACCGATGCTATGAGTGTACCAAAAAGGATATGCGCATCGGAATTAGAAACCAGTAGTCAAACTTGGAGTTGGTCTGCTTTCATGCATTGTTTGTGGAGATTACGTTGGTGATGCTTGCTTGAATGGTTCTCATTCGCATTGCTGGAAGTACCCCAGATTACCCAATTCCCATGACACGGACGCCATACACCCTGCTGCCTGCTCAGGGTATCAAACAACTAAAGCGCCTTATCCAAACACCTTGTGCAGAGCCAACCTTGGTCGTATCGCTATGCCTTTAGATCTGGATCCCGTTAGCACATATTCTCATCCGTTGCATGTTGTTACTCACCAGCTTTAGTGCGGCCCTATGCACGTTCCTCGTGAAGTTGAGCATAGCCTTAGCCTTGTTGTTCCCCCTCTGCAGCCGCCTGTAACCCTCCTGCACATGATTCGGCTGTACGGGCTCCCTCGCCTCCTCCGGCGGATCAAACAGACCGCGCTCTCTCTTCCTCTTGAGCCTATTCTGCTCACCGCCATGATTCTTCTTGTACAAATCCTCTGCATCCTTGACCTTGAGCGCCTCCTCTGTAAGCGTCTGGACAATCTCAAACGTCAAGAAACCCAAGATGTCGATAATGTCATCGGAAGGTTTGGAATCAGTAATGAGACCGAACCCAGCCCATTCTTTGAAACGCTTGCCTTTGCGATAGGTGAAGGAAGCTTGGCGGCAGTCAGACCAGTGGACGTACTCCTCCCTCGTCATGTCCTTGGTACGTTCATCTGCATTCTTGAGGCGTTGGAGGGTAGCGTAATTCATTTCCTCTTCTTCCTCGTCTTCAACGTCGTCTTTTTGCGGTGGAAATTCAGTGAAGAAGGAATGCACGTCCCAGACTAGATCAACTTTTGCGCGCTTGGCTTTCTTCGAGGCGTCGACGGGGGCTGCGCCGGGGCCACCTGCTCCTACGACGCCGGCGGCTATGTCTGCATCTCCGGCTCCGACGTCTGCACCGCCGTCGCCGCCTTTGTCGTCGGAGTCTTTGACGGAGCGGCGGACGTCTTTCCATTGGAGGAAGTGGCGTAGGCGGGAGATTTTGGCCCGGTCGTGTCGGATTAGCATGAAGAGGTCGTCTGTGGATATGGATTTGCTGCCGCGGCGTGTGGCTAGGGCTGTGCATTCTCGTAGCATGTGCTGCACTTGGTCTTGGACGATTGATTCGATCAGGGTGGTTGTTTCGGGTGATGGTTCGCCGGTTTCGCCGGAGACGAACATCATCTGTGGGATCGTTAGATTCAGGCCGACGTCGAAGTCAACGTCGAATGGAAGCAGAGCTTCTGGAGATGCGGGCCGAGACATTGGGGGCGAAGAAAGTGCAGGGAACGATGTGGTGAAGGTCATGGTAGTGGCCTCCTGCTGTGTGGTTGGGGGGAGAGATGTGAGTCAAAGAAATGTGTGGGTGGTACAAGTGCTGGGAGCATCTTGTGGGTGGGCTTTTTTTGGGAGCTCGCTTGTGTCTTTGCTAGATGGGATGGAGTGGGAAATGTGATGATTGTAGGTGAAGTGGAGTAGGGGCCATGTTGGCTGTCCTTCTGAAACGTGATCGTAGATGAACGACAAGAACCACATTCCACGTGTAGTGCATGAACATCGATATGGTGCAAGGGAAATTTTCAGAGTCTTCGAATGACTTGATAGAAATGTGAAGTGGTGCTTGGGTATGCGCATCTAAAAGCGTCCTCTTATATAGGAAAGAATGTGTAGGTCGATCATAGTAAAGGCAGCCTGGGTCAGCCCAAACTTTCAAAACTCCGTCTCTTTCTTGTCTTAAGTGTTAAAGGAAAATCATGAGAAGAGCACGAGAAGGAGATGCAATTAACTAACCTGTTGGATCTCCGTCCGATACTTGGCCATCTTATCCTTGTCCGACATGGTGCCTTACTCCGTCGCCCAAAGGCTCCTATAATCATACAAAGCGCGTCGCCAACTTCTTACAGCTATACAAAACAGAGAGTCGAACACAAGAGGCGTGGGGCGCGGCGAGGAATGTGAATGGAGTCTGGGGATGGAACGCGGTTTGCGGTCTACTAGCGTGATTCCAGACGATGCCTGATGCGACAGCACGGGTTGGCCCGGGCACGCTCAGCCCTACCACATGCAAATCATCCGCCCCGCTCGACTTTTTGTCAATTTGGCGACCAACCCCACCACGACTTTCACCCCACGCGTCACAACTGCCCATCATGCTGTATCTCGTGGGTCTCGGCTTGGCGGATGAGAAGGACATCACTGTCAAAGGTCTGGATATCGTGAAGAAGGCAGAGCGCGTCTACCTCGAAGCGTACACGGCCGTGCTGCTGGTGGAGAAGGATGTGCTTGTGAGTTGAAGATACGATTGATGGGCGAGGCACTGGGAAACTAATTATCACGGCAGTAGGAAGCTTTCTATGGCCGCGAAGTCATCATAGCCGACCGCGAAATGGTCGAGTCGTCCAGCGACGATATCCTCAAAGATGCCGATAAAGTCGACGTCGCATTCCTCGTTGTAGGCGATCCATTCGGGTATGATCCTCTATGAATACATACGACGCCTTTCTAATACCCAACAGAGCGACCACACACACCGACCTCGTCCTCCGCGCCCGCGAACTCTCGATCCCCACCCGCTCCATTCCCAACGCCAGCATCCTGACCTCGATTGGCACAACCGGTCTGCAACTCTACAATTTCGGGCAAACAGTCTCCATGGTCTTCTTCCTTGACAACTGGAAGCCAGCTTCCTTCTACGACCGCATCAAGGAGAACGTCTCCATCGGCCTACACACGCTCGTCCTCCTCGACATCAAGGTCAAGGAACAGAGTCTAGAGAACATGGCGCGCGGACGCAAGATCTACGAGCCGCCGCGGTATATGACTGTTGCGCAGTGCGCGCAGCAGATGCTAGAGATTGAGGAGGATGTCAAGCAGGAGGGTGCTTATACCAAGGAGAGTCTGGCTGTGGGCGTTGCGCGGGTTGGTGCTGAAGATGAGAAGATTGTTGCGGGCACGTTGGCACAGCTATGTGAAGCGGATCTGGGAAAGCCGCTGCATAGTCTGGTGCTGCTTGGTCGACGGACACACGACCTTGAGAGGGATTTTCTCGAGGAGTTCGCTGTGGATAAGGAGAAGTTCAGGGAGGTGTGGAAGAGGGACTATGAGGGCAAGCAATGAGCTGATCCGCGTGCTGTCGCCTCTGCGGGCTACTGACATGTAGCAGTACGCGGAATCGCTTAGACGTAGCTCTTATTTTGATGTTTCACCAAAATCCAATGTCAACATTGCATGGAGAAATAATGGACAGCGCTCTGAAGACCACTTCCGTGCCCATACCCTAAACCTTGGCTCTCCCTTCTGGTATAAATTTCGTCTTTCGATTTGATTCTATCTTTCCATACTTTCTCAAGCCAAGGAATCCAAAGTTGTACCGACTACGTTCCATGACCTGTATCCCAAAAGATTCCTTCACAACTTTCATTTCGGACTGAGAGCCAAAAACGCTCCTAATCCGTACAGCACGTTGCTTCCTCCAAATATTCCACGAAAACATGCCAACAAAACCTGGATTCACCAATACGATGTGGATCTTCCTCCCCTGCAACTTTTCATCATCGCAAATGTTGAGCGAATTCGAAACACCCAAACAAAAACGGCACATCAACTCTTGCATGTCTGCTTGTTGCGGCACGGCCTCTCGTTCACGAAGGTTCGCCTTTCTCGTCTTCCAAGCACACGACTCGGTTGTATTCCCATCAATTCAAAACATGAAACCGTGATCCTATGTGAAGTTGTCTTCCAAAAATGATTTATCAATGGTCCATGTCTGCGCTGTTCGCTCGCAAGTTCTGATCACATGTCGTATACATGTGTTTTCCTGTTCCTTTTCCGTCGTTCCAGTTCTCCATGTATTCGACCTTGTATCGTCTTTGCATCTAGATCTCCTCTTCAAAGACTGTCTTCATCGTTACGATACAATTCTCCAACTCCTGCTCTTGTAACGGGTGAAAGGCCAAGCATGACCTGAAGTCGTGCTCCGGAAATGGCTCTTGTGAAAGGAAGATTTTGGTATTTCCAGACAGCTTCCAGTCTCGTTGCGTGACTCCCTTTGGATCTACATATCCGATCGACACTGTTCTCAAAAGTGTATTCCGCCACCATCCATCAGCGCTCATCTGCATGATAAGAGTCGTATCTTTACGGGCATGAACCGCAAGTGCCACGATCTTGCGCATGATCCAACAGTCACATGTATGTATACTTTTCTTCTGCACAAGCGAAGGCCAGATCATCCGGATAGTAAAGGCGTCATGTTCTGCGCAGATATAAGCGATCATACGCCAACATCTGTCTGTAATGAAATCTCGTACAAGAAGGGTACGGTGTTCCCATACGGTGATCTCCTGGAGATGACTATGGAGGGTCTTGGGAACATCTTCGAGGAAGTTCAATAGGTTAAGTGGACCGTATGCAAAACCTGTGTTGTTACCACATACAACGATGTTCTCCGTCTCTTTCTTCAGCTACCAGCAAACATGTTTGAGCTGGTTGGTCTCCATGGCCGTCTCGAGACTCTTTCCGAGTTGTGCTGCATACCAATCTTGCTCGCGCTCTTTTTTGGAAGGTCTCTTTCCATGACAGGGACCGCGTAGAAGCGGAATATTCCGGAGTTGTTAGATGGTTCTTCGCGGCATAATACTCCGCGTGAACCCGTAAGAGTGTATTTGTAGATGGTGTTTCTGAGCTCGGCGGGAAGTTGGAAGAAATGGCAGGTGCCATCCGGAGAGGGTCGGCTTGGATCCATGATGTCTTTGCAGCGATTCGGAGGGGCGGAGTCTTGCTTGTGTTGGGTCGAGAAGTCAATGTATTGAGACGTGGGGATATTGAGATGTTGAAAGTTATGATGCTTTTGAGGCGCGCGCATCGTATTTTTATATCGCCCGGCACTTGACTCACAGAGCTGAGATGTCATCCTTTGGTTGCCGTCCAATGGTACCTTGGTACTGCGTCGACGCATCCAGTTCTGCATTGCAAAAGTATCTATCAGAAGAGATATCGTTAAAATCAGCGAAAAGCTCTTTCCCAATACCAAATAGTAGTCTCTTTCACTTCGACTGCCCTGCAAAGCTGAACGCAGAACCGAAGTATCAATGAGTCCATCGTACGAGGCGTCGCCAGCCGAACTGCACCTGAAATTTCCTGTTCAAGTTCAATACCCAAATTCTGAGCGACGAAATGATGGTTGGAAAGTTGAAGTAGTATTGGTAGGCTAGAAGGCTAACCGTAGCGTTACTACGATTCTTAGCTTGATGCTAAGCGACATGTAGGGTTGGAAGTGTCTCCACGAATATATTCTAGAACACTTCGTGATGTGCGGGATTGATGCAGATGCTAGCTGCCCGCGCATCCGCCTGAGTGAAGGTAGAAGTTGCGAGGTCGAGCCCTTGACAGGTAAGAGCGTCTGACGTCACAGCACTGTCATCCATTGGCCGAGGCGACCACAAAGCATCACCATGATCTGTACAACTTAATCGGCCCGCTTCTATTCTTCCGCTTGCAGCAGTATTCACAAAGATCCAATCATTCTGGACTAGCGCACTGACAATGTCCAAACCTACCGACGCCACAGTAGATTCCGGCTCGCCCGGTAAGCGGCTTCTCCAGGATGTCATCAATACAACCTCCACTCGCACGCCTTTACCGTTGGATAGAAATAGCGGTACTGAACTGTATCGACAACACAGTCACAAGGAAGAGAACATGCAAAACCCAAAGATGAAGAGGGTCGCATCAAAACCGCAGACCTCCAGCTCAAGACGCTCGGCGAACGGCTACATGCCCATAGAAGACTATGGGCTGATTGGAAACATGAGAACTTGTGCCATGGTCGCAACAGACGGAGGAATCGGTATGTAAATCCTGCGAAGCGCATGTCCAACACACACTGACTTTGTACACCTGCTCCAGATTACATGTGTTGGCCTTACTTCGACTCCCCGTCTGTCTTCTGTCGGATTCTGGATATGGAAAAGGGCGGCCACTTCAGCATAGGACCCACCGGCGACGACACATGTACGACTAAACAGCAGTATCTGCCTGCGAGCAATATTCTTCAAACACGCTACCTGAAGGAGGAGGGTGTCATGAACATCGTGGACTTCTTTCCTAGACCGAACGACAAGAACTGGGACGAAAAGTATCATGCGAACGTACTCGCGAGTAACCATACAGGAAGCGTACCAGAACGTCCCGATCTGAAGAAATGGCTAGTCAGGCGGGTAGAATGTATGCGGGGCAAAGTTGACGTGTGCGTCGAGGTCTTCCCTGCTTTCAACTACGCGCAGGACAAGCATACTACCGAGATTGTCGACATGGGCAAGACTGCCCAAGGACATTGCCTGCAACGTGTCACATTCAGATCGAAAGACCTCTCCCTGGAGCTCAACGCAACAATCGATTGTGGGGATGAACCCGACGGCGTTTGCCCAAGAGTGGCTTTCGAGAAGTCACCGGAGCCGCAAGACCTGGGCGATGGCGTCACGGCCACTTTCACCTTGAACGAAGGTCAGGCCGTATCCTTTATACTGCGCGATGCGGAAGACCACAGCCCAGACGTCAT